GTCCTCTCTCGTCGTCGTCGTCGTCGTCGTCGTACGTCGTAGTACTGTGTGTGTGTGTGTGTGTGTGTGTGTGTGTGTGTGTGTGTGTGTGTGTGTGTGTGTGTGTGTGTGTGTGTGTGTGTGTGTGTGTGTGTGTGTGTGTGTGTGTGTGTGTGTGTGTGTGTGTGTGTGTGTGTGTGTGTGTGTGTGTGTGTCAGTGAAGCTTGTACCTGGAAAAAAGGTTATTATAGCTACTGAAGCAAGACTCCTTTCCCAATGCATACATAGTCTTATATATAAACACCCACATATTTCACTTGTTACTGGAACTGCAAATCACAGCATGTGGAGTGAATCAGAGACAACAGATTAATGAAAAGGAAAAGAGGCGAGGTAGAGGCGAGAGGAATGTGAGAGCTGCTGGGCTGGAAACAGAGAGAACAGAAGGGGTGAGACAGCAGAGAGGAGATGTATGGAGGTGAGAGGAGGGACAGGTGTGTGTATGTTACACAAGGGGGGAGAAAGGAGTGGAATTTGTCCTCTCAGTGGGGGAGGGAGTCGAGCAGGACAGTGTGAGTGATGTGTGACTGTATTGTTAGGGGGAGGACATTTAGTGCGACACCACTCTGTGACAGAAGGATGAGTGGGAGGGCAAATCTCTCTCTCTCAATCACAGAGACTCATACTAACGCGCCGTCCTGCTGTGTCCTTGCTGAGAACGCGGTGTGTGTGTGTGTGTTTATGCAGATAAACTGTAGTGCACCACTTCCCATAGTGCTCATGGCTGCCTTAATTCTCCTTGGGTTTTCAGCTCATAGGGGGAAGGACAAAGGTGGACAAAGGAGAAACAAAGCCGCAGAAGGTGGACAATGTCATTTGACAAAAAAGGCACTTTTATTTTCATGTGACCTTTTGGTGAAAACAGTTATTTACAGCCACAAGCCCCATCCCTATTCATTGCTGCATACTGATTATAATGAAGTCTAGGGTATGTTCATACACTTAAAGGTGGGGTAGGTAATTTTGGAGAAACCAGCTCGAGTGCGCTAGAATTTGAAAATACACAACCGGAAAAAATCTGCCACTTCCTTAAAGAGCCCCTCCTCCAACGCACACGAACGCGCACATGACCAATGAGGGCACGAGATAAGTTTGTGCACAGATGGAAGGATGACAAGCAGGTAGGCCATCCAGTTATTTTAGCCGGGCCGGCTAAAATGATTGGTCGTGCTTTTTACAGCGCTACGGCTTCCACAGATGACATTTTTTTATGGATTTTTTGTCAAAGCACTTAAGATATTCATTGCTATCGGGATGTTAAGAGCATTCCATGGAATATACCAAAAAGTGTATCTCGAGCCGGTTTCTCAAACTTACCTACCCCACCTTTAAGTCACACACTTAAGTACTTAAGTAAGTAAAAGTAAATATACCTTTTAACCGGCTGGATTTCTGAGTGTGCTGACTGTGTTTCAACAATGCAGGAAAGCTTTAATGGCAATGGCATTTCAGAGTGTCTCACCTATTGCATCACTACCTGTTAACATCCCAAACAAAAAAAAAGGATACTAGAATGATTACAATAGGAAATTGAACATGATGTGTCATAAAACATCTGGTGTGTTGTGCAAATTTAAATAGAGAAAATCCAAAAGCCGTTCCAACCGTTTGTTTGTGTAGCAAGTGAATCAGGGGTGGGTGATTATTTTCCTGTAGACGAGAAGGAAAACATTAAGAAAATCTCACAAATTACAGAAGCAGTAAACGCAGGAGTAAATTAATAATGCAAATCAAGACATAATTATTCCTACTTAATACAATTATGCATTTCTTATCTAGCGTTTAGTACATCTTGGGGGTTTAATAAACATAAAATGTAATATAAATGCAAAACAAATCAACCCATTAAACATACCATTAAGATCATTAAATAAAAACTCCTTATTTAAACTCATTAGGTTGTCTCTTTGTTCAGTATGATTTGGGATTTCTAACAAGCTTAAACAGAGATGTTGGATATGAACTCCTCAGGGCTGTCCAGTGTATTTGGGGAAATTATCCAAAATGTGTTTTAACATTTTATGCAATTTGTATATAGTGTAGAAATTGAAGACCAATTTGTTACCAACGCTCAGTTTTTCATGATTACAAACAAGGCCAGCAAGCAATGAGCACCTAAAATCAAAATAAAAGCTTGTACACAGTTTAGCTTACCTGTAGGGATATTTATCAATCTAGATAGTTTTGGTGTGAGTTGCAGAGTGTTGGAGATATAGCAACTATTTTTATTCTACCAAATATGTCACTGTCAATCCTCTCGTCCACGATAAGCTGCAGGCTTCCTTCAGCACACTGATAGTGTAGGCGGGTGAAGTTCAGTAGAAACCACTAACTACAAGGTTTTTCGGATTATCTTGTTGAACCTGGCCATGATTTTTGGAAAGAAACATTGCTTTAAACAAACAAATACAACAAGTGTATACAAATGTATGCACTTTGAGCACCACAAGGCAAGTGCCATCTAGTTACATTATATGCGAGAGAAGGCAGACATCTCCAATCAACTTCAGCACTCAGCATGTCCCACCAAAATAATCTATATTGCTATTACAACAAGTCAGTGGAACAATACGGTTTTTTTAACTGTCCCTTTATGCTTTGAATGCTACATATTTTATTTTATTCAACTCAAAATGGAAATGGGCTTTCAGTAGCAGTCACTTTGTAATGGAGATGCAGCCTCATGTATCTGATAGCAGCGACGTCCTAATGATATTCAGTTCACAACATAATGCTGTGCTCTGACCCAATTGGCACGAGGATTTGTTATCTAGCTGTTATCCGATAATCTTCCCCACACTGCATTCATATTAATATACAATCAGACTATCTGATGAGATTATCACTCGCACAACCAGATTAGGCCCCTTTCAGCAGATTACCATCCTGACAGTCTTACTGTGAAACATTCGCACCCGCGCAATTGTGTGTGTTTGTGGATTAGTGTATTGGTGTACAATACAATCTTCATATTGAGAGCCTTTGTGAGTGGCCAGTAGCCTGTGGAAAGCTTGGTCGGGGATCAGTGGTTTCAGATTGTGTGTGTGTGTGTGTGTGTGTGTGTGTGTGTGTGTGTGTGTGTGTGTGTGTGTGTGTGTGTGTGTGTGTGTGTGTGTGTGTGTGTGTGTGTGTGTGTGTGTGTGTGTGGGGGGGTGTGTGTGTGTGTGTGGTGTGTGTGTGTGTGTGTGTGTGGTGGGTGGTGTGGGTGGGTGTGGGTGCGTGTTGAAGAGTGTTAGTGTTATTTCATGGCCTACTGCACATGAGACAGAGAAATAGACACACGCCGTGTACACTGAGGGTCACAGCCGAAGGAGAAGGAGAGGTTGTGTGTTTTTATCAAATGTGTGTGTGTGTATGAGCACAGACGTTCTATGACAGCAATGAGTTATTGCTTTGTGTGTGTTTTTTTGGGGGAAATAATGGCTTCATCCTTACAGAGGTATTAGCAGCAAAGCAGCTAAATATTTATCTCTTCATAACAGATATGGACATTCTCAGGAACTGCAGAGGTTTGTGTTTGTTTGTTTTTGTTTCTGTGAAAATGTGGCTGTGTGGTATGTGGCATTGTGTGGTTAGATTTTCAGGTTTTTTTCCCATCTCACATTGTGCTGCCTTTGATTCCTGTGGGCTCTTTGATCTAAAGTAGGCCACAAAAAAAACAACGAATTGACACACATGACTTTTACACGGATTTCAACTGTCTTCCTCCTCCGTCTGTCTTTCCGCCTGCCGCTCACTAGGCTACCAGATCTCGTACTGCTTGGACAGCAGGGACCCTCAGCGATGGACTACAGTGGAGGTGGGCTCCACCGCTCGACAGTTCACCGTCACAGGACTCTCCTCCGAACAGGCCTATGTGTTCCGGCTCACTGCTCGCACCGCTGTGGGCTGGGGGGAGGAGCAGGAAGCCCTGGTGGTTACCACTGAGCGCCGAGGTAAAGGACACAGACACACACTTTAGCTTTACATAAATTCTAGTTTGCCCTCAGATCTGATTCTGTAGATAATGCATACGTTTACCACTCCTATTGAATCATAATAGGAACCTGAACTCTCAAGTTGCCACAAAATGGAGGCTAAATGAGAAGTTTTTTTATTTTGGATAATGACCCGGGACAATGAACTGTATAAAAAAGAAGTTAAAATGTGATGTGTTTATAATAATACTTTTTTCAAATGTAACTTTTATTATTGTTTTTTAATAATGAAATGCTTAAAACTTTAAGGTGTTTAGGGTTTTCAGACCTTTTTTCTAGGATGCAGCAGCAACATGTATCCATGACTTAAGGTGTAAACAGAATGGAGTCATCATTGTTTTGATTTTAGATTTTCCCTGAGTCAAAATGTCAGCTGAGGAAAACACCTTTAGGGATAAACATTATGGGTTTGTTGGGTCACTGATGGGTGTATTTCCAGACAGAAAAAACAGAGCTATCAAGTGTGTGTACTGTGTATGCACTGAGGCAAGGAAGATTAAGATGAAATTAAGTTTCTCTCTCTTTATTTTATAGCAGATAGAAATGAAAACAATATTAATCGTTTCTGAAAGAGTATTGAATCACACACTAATGGAACCTGTATAACAAGTGTGTTATTTTGCTTCTGTACAAAATCACTTATCTACATTGCTGGATAATTTTATAAGAATAATGCTGTGTAAGCTTGCTAGCTTCAACTAATGACAAACTTGCCTTTTTCATGCACCCCCACTAACTATATAAGTATCATGTATCTTGCGTGGCATTTGTGCCAAAGTAATGTAATCATCTGTAATGACATTTAAATTCAATTAGAATGATTCATAAGGAAATAATATGTATAATATGAACTACGTTAAACACAACATTCTGTAAATGAGTCCATTTTAGGCTGGACGCACTTGATTAATGACTTTAATTTTACCTGCACTCTCCATCAAGAGGGGTTATAGCAGGAGAAACTGCAGTCTTTGGTGGTTGTGTTGTCCTCTCTTTTCACATTGACTTTCAGATGGTCAAATATTATATTTGGTAATTGTCTACAGTAAAGCTGCAAGTGCAGAAAGAGTGCAAAAGGTTAGCTGAATTTTTAGCATTTAAAAAATGAGGGACCTCTGCAGAACGCTAGGCAGAGATAAAGTTAGAGAAAGATAACCCAGGAGCTCAGATTATCAGTGCTTCAACAACAAGTAGTTCACAGTTGGACGTGCAGAATCCATGGTTACTGTGCAGCAGCAAATGTAGATGTTGAAATCACCAGATAGACCTGCTACAGTAGCTTAAAAATCTAAGAGTTCCAAAAACCACCTAGGGGTCCGTGCAACCGAAATCAATTTAAAATGAATGGGCCCGTCTGGGTTTGGTAAATATCTAGAAAATGTTCACAGACCAAAGAAAAAAATTGGTCTGTAGGCTGGGATTGAATTGCTGACCCTCTGATTGGTAGACACTTAATCAACCCCTGGGCCATAGTCACCCCTTTTAATGACAACAGTCAAAAACAATCGGAAAAACTCTCATAAAGACGCATAAAGGCCCTGACACATCAGGCAGTCACCAGAGAACTGTGTTCTCCTGCGTCTTGGCCATGTGTCGCACTGGAACACACCGCAAAGACTTCAGCCGAGCACGTACGAACTGCGCATGCGTGAGTGGCAATAACTTTCCTTACCAGCAGGCGGCGGTAGTGTGTATTCGTCATTCAAAAGAGGCAACAACCGGAAGACAGAGAAGAAGAACTGACTACGTGATCTAAACAAACAACAAATAGCGTGTGCGTTCCATTTTCACTCTCGTCCATCGAAAACATGTTTCGTGCGGTACTGGAGCTATCAGCCATTTGAGTGTTGCTTGTGGAAGACATTCTCAACCGTTTTGCTTCTCATGCACTGATTCGCTAGCTGAACAGCCAATCAGAGTGATTTCGCCTGTGGCGTCGGCCATGAAAGGCCAAATAAGGCGTGTCACGGCCGACGGTGCGGGACTTTATATATACCCTACAGTCTATGTGCGGGACACACCAAATTGAGTTTGGGCGACAGGGCACGCTTCATCGTCCGACTAACGAAAACGGACGATTTCGGCCTGGTGTGTCAGGGCCTTAACACTTCAAATATAATGGTACTGAAAGTTGTGGCTTTCAGTCTGCTGGTACTTGCTGTGAGAGACAGCAAGCATTATCGGCATTTCACACTCAACTGTCTTGCAACACAAAGTATCGTGCTGTGTTGTAGGCGAGTGACAAATGTTCACTTAGTAGGTGAGAAAGAGAATGAGACTGTCAGTGTGTTGGAAGGGCAGTAATTGGGATGTCTTTTTTGCCAAAACAGATAGCACAGACTATACATGATTCAAAAGCCCTTAATCTTTACTCCAAACCAAAGTAGTTACTTAGTATTGATCAGCAGTTCTATTGCAATTTTAATTATTATGTTTTTTGAGCAGCAGGTATATTGCTAAATTGTCTTTAACATTATATCTAATTTGAGCAATCACTGGTGGCCTCATTGTAAAGTATTAACTGTGAACAGCAGGAATTTAATCACATTCAAACACTGAGTATGAGAGCCCATGACTGTGAGAGAGGACATTGCTTAATTACAATAACTCTCTTTAAACAGCCCTTAGAAATCTATCCTCCAACAAACAGTCAAGGACCAGAAAGAAGAGCACATCCTACATGAGCTCTAACGGCATTTTCCCTTCAACTCAGAAACAAATAAAGGTTTTGAAGCGCACTCAGATTCGGAGGTTGTGGCACTTTAATGTCATCTTGTCTAGACTTCTGCTCCTCTCTCATTCGCTTCCAATCAACTTCTTTCCGCTCATTGAGAATACATTTTAACTTAAGCCAAATAACCCTTCAGCAAATCCCATACTCATGTATCTGTTCAATGGTTAAAATATGCACAGTGTATATGATATATATAACACTGTGAGTTATTTAGCAGGTCAAGAAACATTAGTTGGAAATAAAGTAAGCAAATGCACTTATAGTCTTGTAAAGGCTGATGTTTTTATAAATGAATTGAACTAAGTGAATTTACTTTGAATTGTACAAATCAACCAGGATACACAAACACTATGAGTCATTTCTGTATTGTGACTCTTTTCCACTCAGAAAGGCTACAGTTTTAAGCTTTTGTAAACATTATTAAAACCTTATCTCCATTTCCCTGCTTGCCTCCTCTCAACAGTGCCTGCATCAGACTCTTAAAATAACAGACGTTATGTTAATTATGATGTAACACAGCCCAACAGGTTTTTAAACTGTGAAGCTCCAATCACATCAAACTTAACGCATTGTTTAACTGTATTAGCTGAAAGTACAAGTAATGAAAGTCAATAATGCAGGTCCACCTCACAGCACATCAACCAATATAAGTGTTACAGCTACAGGTTGTTAGTGTTGTAGACTCAGGACTAAAGATTATTACATTTCAATCTTTGATACGCTGCTTCAAAACATCAGCTCAGAAAATGCAGTATCTGCTTAAGACCTGCATTAACAGATGTTTTTCTACTGGCCACAGTGACACTGATACGTTATAATAACCTCAAAATGTTTAAATTAATGTATTAACAAACACATGCCATATTTACACATGCTGCTGTCCTGGAGAATCATTGTGGAGTTGTGTTTGTGTCGCTCTGAGGAACATAGATCCAACATTCACTCTACTTTAAGCACTGTTTTTTTATCTCCATCGATTCCTGAGGGAAATATTTGGCTCTTTAGCCAAATAGTCAACGATGTTTACCAGCTAGCTGCTAACTTTCTGTTGTTCAGTTTTGTTTATATCCCCCTGCATTCCATATAGGCTGAGGGAAACTGCGAAGTCCTGTGATAGATCTCTGTTGGCCACTCCAGGTGAAACCTATGACTTTATAGAAAGTTTGATCCCATTTTAACTCAACGATATTGATACAGTATCTTCAACACATATCCACACTGTAATAAATGATAAGTTGACTTTACTGAAAAATATCTAGGAAACCGGTTGCACTTAAAAAGTGAAGTCAATTGAACTATTAGTATTAAGTTTACTTAACTTAATATATTCTTGTTAAGTTAACTTTTAATTTGGTTCCATTAACTTAATTTTGTTTAGTTCTTCCAACTTAAAAAAGTTCAGTCCAAACTACTTTATTTTGTAAAGTGATGTCAACTTAATTAAACCAAGTTCCTCTGACTTACCTGAAAAGTTGTGTTTACTCAGTAGAATTAAGGGAACCGATTGCCTTAATGTAATCAAGTAAATACAACAAATTTCCAACAAAAGCTAAACCAGGAAGTGTTTTAGCACACCACGTGACGCATCTGAACAAATCACGTTTGGTTTAAGACCCCTTTGTACCTTCACGATTGGTTGCTGATACAAAGGATACGATATTTGGATCCGATGAGATTGTGCAGGAGAGACCGAGCTTTCCAACGATACCTCTCACATGGTGCAAACAGCCGTCGCGGTACTTTATGTTACGTTAGAATGCTAACTTTGGTGAATTTAGGAGAAATCTACAGACGCAAATAGACAAGCTATAGTAAAATAAACACCTAAATTCCTTCCAAAAGCCTGAAAGAAAACATGTTATGGAATCAAAATAGCTCAAAATTGAACAGTGCATGAAAAATGTTTTTGCCGGCCGTGCCTCGCCCTGCTGAGACACACCGGAGTTGAGGATCTGTGGGGTTTATTCTCCCAAAAATATAATTTAAAATTTACAAAATTAAATTAAAATGATAAGATATATTTGTGGCGGACGATATTTAATTGTGGCAGCCCACCACAAATGAATCGATGTATGGGAAACACTGGCAGCTCTGCCTGTAGTGCTCTACTGCCATGTGCCCTGCTGTTCCCTTGGCTTCACTTCATGAACTTGGAGTTACAAACAGTTTGATCAGTTGAACCAAGTTGTATACCTTTTTTGGTCGAATCGAGTAAATCCCTCACATTGAATGAGTAAAATCATATGGTTAGTGAGAAATAAGTACAATAAGGTATTTTCAGTAAGCATAGCTATTACTATTTACAGTGCAGATTAGCCACCTTTATGTTTGTATTCTGTAACGATACATTTAATTTAATATTGAGCACTGATTTTGTTAATATGTCTTATAATGTTATGTATCTTACAATTCATTTTAAAAACACATTTGCATTATTATTACATTCTGTGTGCCGGTGATAGTGAAGTCAGTTGATGAAGATACATGGAAGAATGGTTTAAGTGTCGGGTGGTTTTCAAAGTTTGACAGAGAACTATTCCAGCGAAGTGAAATATCACTTTTTAAAAAAAAGTCATAGTGACTCTGGTGTCTCTGTGGGCCAACGCATGAACCGCTTTGGTTTGAACGCGGCTCCCACTTTGATTTATGTCATCCCTGAACTCTTTCTCCAATTTTCTCTGTCAGCCGGCACCACCGCTGTCTAGTAAAGCAGCGAAATGCTACAAAAGTCCTTATACAAAAATGTGACAGTGAATTGAATTCTTATGAAAACATAGAATCATGATGTCAGATATTCTATTCAGAGCTATCAGTGTTTGTAGAGTTTTTTAATTGGATCAGATATCATAGCATCTGCAGCATCATTTTCAGGGTTTCTTTCTTAAGAATTGAATTGAGTGGATCCCTGTTCCACTTCAGTAACATAATGACCCATTCTCACTGAGAGATAGACAGCATAGTCTAATAGAGATTTCTTTCTGATGATGCAGAAGAGACCAACTTAATCCCCAGAAAAAGAAAATTGGCTTTTGGAGTGTGCGTGTGGCTGTGTATGTGTGTGAGGCTGTGTGCATGTGCATGAATGAAAACAATTCTGAGAGGTTTATCTGCTGGTGTTTGTCTCCAAGAGAGGATAACTGATACGGTAATGGTCATCATACAGCAGCATATTAAGCAGCATCCATCCCCTTACAAACATATACACTATTTGATATCCTTTAACACCAGAAGCTTTTCTTCTTCATGTGCCCTTCTGTTCTTCTCTCCTCTACCTTGTATGGCAGAATACATTCTGAAAAGGCAGCTCTTGTTCTGACAATTATGAGTGTATTATCAGAACATGATCTTCACTGTAGAGCGGAACAAGAGAAGCCGACATGGAAACACAGATGGTATCAGGGAAACAAAAGAGGAATCTTAAAAGGACTGAGGAATAAGGGCACAAAGGAAGAAGGGAGTCAAACAGATTCGACTTAAATTGCTTGTGATAAGGATGAATGGAGGAAGCCTCTCTCTGTGTGTGTGTGTGTGTGTGTGTGTGTGTGTGTGTGTGTGTGTGTGTGTGTGTGTGTGTGTGTGTGTGTGTGTGTGTGTGTGTGTGTGTGTGTGTGTGCGTGCATATGTGTTTGTGTACACTCATCGACTTGTCAAACAGCTTCTGCCACACAGTTGTACAAAGATACTGACTCCCAGATTCATCTTTTATCTTCTAATTGAATAGCAAGACTGACAAATAGGAACACACACTGGCAGTCTGTAGAGAAATAGTTTCTTTGATGTTGCAGTGGTTAGATGTCTTGTTTCATTTAAACACATGTAAGTATTGCAACAGTCAAGCCAGTGTAAATGTTGGCTGCCCTTGTCCTGTGTTACAAGGTATTGGCAGCATATGGTCCATGTTCGCCTCAATTTAGTCAGGGGACAATTTGTTCCATCGTGCATAGTTACAGATAGGGGGCAAATTAAAGGAAATTAATTAATGAGAAGAGAAGCATATTGCAGATGTTTCTATAAAGGGACTCATTTACATCCATTTAAGTAACCAGGTTTCAGCTTATTTAAAAAAAAGAATGTGATTTTGGACCTGGTAGCCGCAGATAAACAGGAGGGGGTGAGAGAGGGGACGACATGCAGCAAAGTGCGGCAGCTCGGATTCTGATCTCGGCCGCTGCAGTTAGGCCCTATAGCTGATTTCTTAGTGTATATGATATTTCTTCAACTAGATTTATTATTTATTTCTGAGCCATGAGTATTGAAAGCTGGGTCTCTAATTGACTGTTTACATGTATGAATGTGTAATACAAAGACTTCAAACATAAAACGTTTCCCTGTATAACTAAGACAGGAGAGAAGATAAAAGGAAAGATCATTAAAGGTAGCAATTCATATAATTCCATCTAAAGTACTGCTTGAATTGAAACTAACTAACAGTAGAGTGTACAAGTCTAATCATGGTTCCACTTCTCAATATGTGGCCTTTTGTTAAATGAAGACACATTTGTACTGTAAGGAGAAGCTCTGCTGTCTCACAGACACACACTGTTCTGGAGGCGTGTTCTTATTACTTTCCTCTGTCTGGAACACATTTGCATAGGGATAAGTGTTTTGTAGATGTTTTGACCTTTTTTCATTTTCTATCTTTATGCATCCAGCACCTTCTTGACTTGCAGTGTTCTGTCTTTTACTTTGTGATCCAACTATATATTTAAAACTACACAATATCCCTCTGTCCTTGATGTGCGAAAACTCACACTCGATGGGTGTACGCAGTGGGAACACAGTCACTCCATGTAACATTCCTAAATTACATGATTTTATGTATGAATGAATACTTAAAATAAAATTGCCCTAGAAATGTAAATGTGTTGATCTTTTTCCCTTTCCTGCTTTCTTTTCAACTCCCCCTCTCTTATCCTGGTTTCACCTTCCCTCTCTCTCCCCTGCCTCTTTCCCCCTCTTTTCATCTCACCACATCCACAGAGCGTCCCCAGCCGCCCAGGAAGTTGTCTGTTCCTCAGGAAGGGGTTGAATCTCGTCATGTGCGCCTCCACTGGGTGACAGGAAGCTCAGGTTCCTCCCCGCTGAGGTACTTCACACTGCAGGCCAAAGAGCTGCCCAACGGGGACTGGAACGCACACACTGCTGACATCCCGCACAACGGGACCACATGGACCGCTGACAGGTACACATGTGCACATATGTGCAGTCACACACGCACAGACACACACGTATCTGCTTGTGTGGCAAAAGTATTATAATCTTTTTTTTTTAAATCTAACCGTAACTACTGTATGTGCAGCAGGCAGGTAAAGCTTCAGATGATGTGTATACCCAAAATAGAACGAGATGGAGGGTGATTACTTTTTTTGTGTTTTCTAACCGGAATAAAAAGCAGGAAATCAAAAGGAAAAGATAAAATTGTGGTTTTGCTTTTAAAGTAATCCACAAACTATAGCAAGATGAAGCCAATACATCTGACTGTTTGCTTAAAATTAGAAAATCCGTTGTTTCAAAAATTACAAAGCATTACAATCGCTAAAGCTTCCACCGTAAACTGATGAAATGCCTAATGAACTGTGCAGGCACGGAAAGCTTGACAGGCATAGCAACAGTATCTAGTGAAGGTTGGGGCTATCTAATAGTCAATTAGGCCATCTCAAGCATCCTTGGAGAAAACATGAATAAAAACTCAACATTACTGTTTGTGCTTTCCTGACACAGCATGGACATTTTGTTTGGCATTGCATGCTAGACTTGAATTAGTTAAAGCAGTCTTTAAAAAATCTTGTAATGTTTATGCATCCTCGGGGAGAGAAGAGGAGTGGACTGAGAGACGAGGAGGACTGTGAATACTCAACGCAGAGAACAGAGAATTAGAACACAGAAAGAAAAAGTTTTATTTGGAACATGTCGTACCAAAAAGGTTTTTAGAGCAAAAAAACGCAACAAGGAGAAGAAAAACCCCCACCAGGGAGAGCAGAGTAATCATAATCACTGCAGAAACGTGGAGGATCTCAGTCACCTAATCGCAGAGCAACAGCAGGAGTGCTCCTTAGCTTTTTCTCTTAAACTTTTTTTCTCTCTGCCTTTCGTGCTTTCAAGTTTCTGTGTGCCATTTGTCCAACAGTCATTCTCGAAAAACGTTTTTTACCTTTTCATCTGTCATCCCTCTTGTTGCCACCACCTCCCTTCGTGCCTCCATCCATCAACAGCTAGTGCTTTCAAAAACCATAAGCCGTGTATTTGTTCCTTTCCTTCACATGCACTAATCCACAGCAAGAGAGGGCTCCATGTCTTCCTTTTCCATCCCTCTCTCTCCATCCCTCCATCCTGCCCCTCTTGGTGAGGCTGTCATTAAGGCAGCAGGTGATGGCGGTCAGACTCGATGGCTGCTCCAACTTCCCTGAAAGCCTAAGTAGCAGAACTATGATGAGGATTTACTTTGGATGGTGTGTGTGACTGTTGGTGTGTGTGACTGTGTGTGACTGTGTGTGACTGTTGGTGTGTGTGACTGTGTGTGACTGTTGGTGTGTGTGACTGTGTGTGACTGTTGGTGTGTGTGACTTTGTGTGACTGTGTGTGACTGTTGGTGTGTGTGACTGTTGGTGTGTGTGACTGTGTGTGACTGTTGGTGTGTGTGACTGTTGGTGTGTGTGACTGTGTGTGACTGTTGGTGTGTGTGACTGTGTGTGACTGTGTGTGACTGTTGGTGTGTGTGACTGTGTGTGACTGTGTGTGACTGTTGGTGTGTGTGACTGTTGGTGTGTGTGACTGTGTGTGACTGTTGGTGTGTGTGACTGTTGGTGTGTGTGATGTGTGTGACTGTTGGTGTGTGTGGGTGTGTGTGACTGTGTGTGACTGTGTGGTGTGTGTGACTGTTGGTGTGTGTGACTGTTGGTGTGTGTGACTGTGTGTGACTGTTGGTGTGTGTGACTGTGTGTGACTGTGTGTGACTGTTGGTGTGTGTGACTGTGTGTGACTGTGTGTGACTGTTGGTGTGTGTGACTGTTGGTGTGTGTGACTGTTGGTGTGTGTGACTGTTGGTGTGCGCCCCTTCTTCGCCAGCTATCACAGAGCTGTTTGAGATGCTGAAGAGCGCTCTCTGTGTGTCTGCACCAGCCTGTTTCAGCCTGCCTCAGGGAGAGTCTCTCTGCCATGCTGCTGCTGCTGCTGCTGTTGTTTTGATGCATTTCGGGCTCATTCTAACTCTGAATGCTCTAATTACAGCGCCGGGTGGAGGAATTAGCTTACTTTTCAATACACTCACACTCATACTTACTTGTTATCCATCCCTTAATTGTTGTTTTCCAATGAGACATATTTGGAACCAAAACATTGTAGTCCCCCCAGGCTGGTGCGAACATGTACACACACATGTACGACACACACACACACACACACACACACACACACACACACACACACACACACACACACACACACACTCACTCACTCACTGTCCTTAAAGTCGTCCCATTGCTGTTGGTGCCCCACCCTCTTTGAGCTTGGTGCTTTGATGTGTTATTCCTACGATACCCACAACCCAACAGGGTTTTTTCGTGGCCCTTATTGGGGCTCATTATTATACAAGAGGACACTTGAGCAGTTCTCCAGTCGCCTGCTGAATTTCTCACTTGTCCTCTGAAGTCCCTGAGGCCCGTGAAAATAAGGTCCAGGACCTTGCAGGTAGATGTGTGAGCAGTGACAAAGCACGGGGGAGGATGTTACATTGAATCCTTTGTAACAATTGTTGTTAATGCCTGAACAAATGATTCAAATGTTCCTGTTAACTCGTATTTCTAATGAGGTTGGACTAATAAATAGGAAAGAAAAATTACCTATTTGCCACCGCCTGTCCTTTTAAATTTTTAATCAGATTCCCACGGTGAGCAGAAGAGGGAGGATTTAAACTATTAGCATGCTATAAGGCACAGAACTCTTGTTCAGCTGGCTCCTAACAACGAGTGCCTGTCCCTTCAGCTGATTGTAAGTGGCTCTAGAGTCAAGTGTTTTCAAAATGACTGATGTATATTGTTATTCTGTGCTTATTAATGCATTCACCTTGCACAGAGGACAAATGCAGATAAGATGTTGTGGTTGTATGGCAACAGGAATACTTTGACAGGGAAGACAATTAGCAAAGGTGTAAGATAATTATTATTCAAGACCTCTTCAAAGGCCACGGAAAGAGCAGAAATATGTTTGCGAGAGTGGGTGAAGATGGTTTTGAAAAAAATGTGTTAAAAGTGCAAAGTGTTAATGATACCTAGTGGAGTTATTTGATACTTGTGGTGCTGTAGAGCCATGTTTTGATGAGCGGGTCATTGTATTGTTTGTTTCTTGCATTGTTTGTGCCTTTGTGTTTGTGATAAGAGAAGAAGAAAACCATAAGCTGATGCAACCAATGCAACAGAGACTTTACAAACATGTTATGTGGTTCAAGGTCTTACAGATATACTTACATGTTAGCATGTATACACTGATACTCACATGGAGTGGTGAGTTCACTGGTCTACATGCTATCGTTTTGCACACACTTATAAAAGCCTATTTGCGCAAGACTATGAGTAAATTAAAGTAATGCAATGCATGCATCAATTGGTTTACCAATAGATTCACATTGATAAACCATTGTAAATGTTCAGGGTGTCCGCGGGGTCTTGAAAAGTATTAAAAGTTGATAAATCAATTTAGCGAAAATTAAGGCTATTAAAAAGTATTAAACGGCATTTTCCAAGGTATCATATTTTGTAGCTTGTTTTCAATAAGTATATAAATGGTCCAAAGAGGTTGTGTTCTACAGTTTGCCTGAATGTAATCATTGCGTAGGTGTGTAGTGTGATTCTGTGTAGTTTATTTATGGCATCCCGTTGGATTTGACGTCATCTGAACAGGACATCCCACGCTCACTGCTTGATACTGTAGCGCGCGAAGGTCCGGTTGTTAAACAACATCGTTATGGGGAAATGCAAGTCTGCGTCCAAATGGTTGGAAGATAAGGAGGAAGGACAATCAATACTGTATATAGTAATTGTGAGGTGAAGTGTGTCGCCAATGTAACCGGTTAAAAGTCGAAGTGGCGATGAGGTCTTAAAATGTATGGGAAGGGTCTTAGAAAAGTTCTTAAAAGGTATTACATTTGACTTCAGGATTCCTGCATATACCCTGATGTTGCTTGAGGATCATGGAGCAAAAACCCTAGTAGCCTTTTAATGTAAAGAAACCAATTCATCAATTTAGGCCTGAATCTGTCCAAAGATATATTTGAAATTAAAATTGAAATTAAAATTTTTAGATGAAAGAATGAAAACGTTCCTAGGGTGACAAGACTTGTTGTTCTAACAAAACCAAATAGGAAGATATTTATGAAGACGAGAGAGGTGCAAAGCTGAAACCAATGTGAACAAAGGTAATACTTATCAGTGTTACGCCTCTCATCTCTACATATGTATCTGCTGTTTGTGTCGGCAGGCTGAAACCCTTTACATCATACAAGTTTCGGATGCTGGCCACCAACGATGTAGGAGACAGTGTCCTCAGCAAAGAGACGGAGGCTGTTACAACTCTGCAGGATGGTGAGAGACTGGGAACACTGGTGGGGGGGAGAGAGAAAGAAGACATGACAAAGTGTATTTTCAAACATAAATAAAAAGGACTATATTAGGATGGACAGTTTGTCTGCCTCGTCTTTTCTTCCTCACTCCCTTTGTTATGTTTTCCTTTCCAGTCCCTGAGGAGCCTCCAGTGATCCTTGCAGTGAAACCAACAACAACTACCTCAGTCCTGGTGCAGTGGAAGGTATTTTCAGAATTTCTATTATGCTTGAGCAACACAAACATTATATACAGACAGACCTTCACAACCAAACTTCATGGAGGTTAATCACCTATTTGAAGAAGAAGAGTCCTGTGGAGTTACTGTGTTTGTACGAGTTGCATGTGGATGCAATTATGATTATTTATTGAAAAGGAAAGGTCAGAGGGCAGCATAGAAAGATTGGGGGGGGATGTCAAGAGGGAGAGACAGATTGTTCTGGCAGCGGGAGAGAAAAGTTCAAACTCTTAATGAGGTTATACCAGCAGGAGAGAAGTTAGAGGGCAAGAGAAGCAAACATCAGCCATGTCCAACAACAGAGGAAAATGAGAGAAAGGGGAGTTTTGGAAGAATTCAGGTGGTTTAAGAGCAACTGTGACTGGTGAAACGACAGTAAATACAGCCTGGCTACTTTACTGCTTGTCACTCTTCCTCTTCTGCTTGGAAGTGTCTTCTCTCACTCCTTTTAGCCTTGTGTCAAAGCAGAAGGAGGCGATGAAAAACAAAGTCACCAGCAATTTCATCATCTTTTACAAGAGTGCCAAACTCACTGAAGCATCACTTTGTCTGTGGGGTTATAGCCAGAGCAATCCAGCAGCGCTTTAAAGTGGACTCTGCTGATAAAATACTGCTCTGCCAGCGTCCTGTCATTCACCCACTACACAAAGACAATGAAAATGATCAAAGTACAGAATTCCTTCTTTGATAGTGAACTGAACTGTCTTCTTGCTCATGTGTGCTTGTTTGCATGTGTTTCAGAAACCCAATGACACCAGTATTAACGGGGTGTTGACTGGATACCGGCTGTATTACAGAGAGCTCCAAGTAAACGTTTCCACTTTCGTTGAAGCAGAAGTCCAGGCAACAAAAAACAACACCACGAGTGCCCTCATTACAAGTGAGTAGTACGGATAGCAACTGTTTGCTTAGCCCCACTCCCACTTAGTTAGTGTTGCTCTGTCATGCTTTTCTTTTCAGCACTTATGCATCAATAACAGTGATGAAAGTGTCATTGTTAAAACTTGAAATGCACAGCATTATTTATGTATTCTTTATTTATACTGTAGCACACAGAAGTAGGTCATTCAAATGTCTAGCTAAAATTGAGATTCAATCAGATGTTGCTATCTAGCCAGCTTGTAAAAGTGGCAATAGACATGTTTTTATCCCTGTCGCCTTTCCAAGTGCTATGATTTGAGACTTTAAGAAGTGAATGTTGAAGTGGGAAACAGCTACGGAGTTTGAGGGGGAAAGAAGGTCCACTTAGCCAACAGCATAAGTTTACCCTCTCCTCAGTTTCTCCTTTGTTGTGACAAGTATACATATATATGTCATTCTGCCACTTTTAGCTACTATTGAAACTATTGCTAGATACTGTTCTTTTAATGTGAATTGCTGTTGGCAAACATTGCACAGGACACACTGCATTTTGTTTCCATGGCTTTGTGCCAATATTTTAGTTTTAATTTCCCCGTACCAGCGGCATATATAATTGCACAATGACAGCCGGGCTTATAGGAACTAATCTGAATGCTGATGGTTTCATTATCTGTAGCCATTATTTTGTGCGGTCAACACTTGCTTCATAGTGATCCTTTATATAAAAAAACATTTCCATAGCCACATTAAGAGCTACCGTATGCTGTATAACTGATTAAAAACACATTTTATTACGAGAACTGCAATGTTCTTGTGCTGTCGTATACTGCTAGGTAGTCTTAATATTGAAAAAACGATGCTGTTCAAACAAACAAGTCCTTTTTAACACTCCCCTCTTAAACACAATCACTTTATTTAATTGCCGTTGTCATTTTAAAATGTACTGATGTCCCCCTCCATCCTTGTCTCCCTAAAGCCAAGAGCACCTTCAAGACAGTCAGCAGCGCCGCGCTAACAGAGTTTGAGTTGACACGTAAGTAATTAAAAATGGAACTGGGAAGAAAAGCTCCTGAGATATTTATTTTTTTAAGACTTGGTTTTAGTAACTTGATAATAAGCAACCAGCTTCTAGTATAAGAACAATTCGCAAAAACAACTAGCATTTTCACTTTGCATACATGTTACACGTAAATGTAAGTATTTTAATTTCTTTGCAGAACTGAAGAAGTTCAAACGCTACCAGATTGTTATGACAAGCTACAACATCATCGGAGAGAGCCCCCCCTCCACCCCAGTGGAGGTGTCTGTCGGAGAGGCAGGTAGGTGGAAACAGGAGGAGGCTGTTAGACAGGTCACTATTTGTATACGTCATTAACACTTAATGCTTATGAACATGAACACATGTAGGGTTTGCAAGAACAGCTTAAATGTCTAGCTGCTTCTTTCCCCAGCATTAACTGCTTTGTCAAAATGTTGCATTGTGGGTAAAATAACATTAAGTTTGAAGCTAAATCTTTAAATTGTTGCTCATCAGTTACAGTGGGATATACATTATTATTATGAATTATTTATCATCCCATTTCATACATGTACTTTATTCTCCAACATACAAACTCATTTCATCATGCACAGCAAATATAACAAAGAACCTGCCATAACACATAGATCCAAAAGCAGTATTTTTAAGTGAGGGAAAAACAAAGAACAAAGCAAACCTTACTCAAGGTGCCCTTACTGGTATATCATATGTTAAGCATGAAAGCACATCCATGACCTTGAAAGTAGTAGTTAAACACATCAATCCCATCTCAAGGTCAGTTTACTGTACATGTTTTTCCAGACCTCAAACCGTAACATACGGTATTAATGAGCAGATAGATGTACTCAGTTGTTATTGAGATGGATGTGTTCACAACAAGCTCGGTAGCTGTAAGGATTTCATCCGTAGCACACAATAGGCTTTTAAAGACTGTGATATTTCCGACTCTGGAAGAAGCGAGTTAGAAGACCTTGAATCTTTGCCCTGTCTCTCGCTTCCTTCTTCTTTCTTCTAACTTGCTTTGTCCTCTCCACGTCTCCTGTCGTCCTCTCTTTGCCCTTTGAATGGCATTGCTTCGATGTGTGTGTGTGTGTGTGTGTGTGTGTGTGTGTGTGTGTGTGTGTGTGTGTGTGTGTGTGTGTGTGTGTGTGTGTGTGTGTGTGTGTGTGTGTGTGTGTGTGTGTGTGTGTGTGTGTGTGTGTGTCTGTGCGTGTGCGTTTGTGTGTGTGTAAGTGGGCTTGCGCATACATCTGTACAAATCGGAATTTCGTCAAGAGCTGTACAAAGTCATCTATTGTTGTAGTGATGGCCCAACCCCTGTTAAACTTCACCAGAGAGTCTAGCCATGGATCTATTACACAGACAAGAGTGCAAATAAATTACTCTCAATCATGCACACACACACACACACACACACACACACACACAGTAACTGTCTAACTAAACACCTCGCCTCCTGCAGCTCCATCGGTGGCTCCTCAGTCTATCAAAGTCTCCGCTGTGTCTCCCTCCACCCTGGAAGTGACCTGGGACACACCCCCCCTGGAGACCCAGAATGGACTCATCCAAGGATACAAGGTGACACACACACACACACACACCAATATGTTCTTGTGGGAAACACACACACATGACAGACAAAGACCAAAACAATACTATGATGTGATTTTAAACACACCCAGTGTTTCTGTGTGCATTCAAACTGTCTTTGTCTCTTGGAGGCTTTTTGCTCTGCTGCACTTTCAATCGCGCTGTCGAGAAGTAGGGAGCATTACGTTAGAGGAAGAATCTGAATATCCTTTAATGGTTTCAATATCACTCGTCTGCCTGTGTCTCCCACTCGACTCCCCTGCCCCACCCCCTCACTCTTACTACTTCAAACACAAGGTTATCTTTCCTGCTTTAGACATATTGATTTCTGCCCGAGTGGAGGGGGGAAATGGAGGAAAAAAGAGGGGAATGTAATATTTGCAGAGTGGAGAAATGAGATGAGCAAGTGATCCCTGTAGAATCCTGATTAGAGGAGAGGATCGAGGGAATACGTTTAAGCTACCAGAGACGGATGGACACAGAGAAGGGAGGCAGAGGGGGTTAACAAGATTAAGACGAGAGAAATAGAGCAAAGAAAGAATGTCTAATGAATTTATAGGTTCTGACTTCTGTTCACACTGGGAAGCACAGGGGGCAGGTGGGGCTGAAGGTAAACTTCATCGCAACAGTGCTGTCTTTCAACAGTTTACTGAAATGCTCTCGAGGACTGTTTAAATACACGGAACATGATGGGTGACAGGTCATTCAACACTGTTCCTTTCAGACATACAGCAAATGTAAAAGGTTGCTTGTTTGCAAATGTGTGGGCAGATGTGTTCAAGTGAGTCACTGATACTTTAAACCAGGGGTGTCAAACTCAAATACACAGTGGGCCAAAATGTAAAAATCGGTAATAGTCGAGGGCCGGACTGGTTCAATGTTTATTGCAAAACTTATTGAAATGAACTTATTGCACATATTAAACCTGGAACTAACAAAGCTTAAATGATTGCCAATAAAAACAACATTAAACATTAAATAATCATTCATTTCTTATTTCTTATGGCTCTATTTGCGGAGTCATTTCTTATGATTACATCTTCCCACAGGCCAACAGCTTCAAAAAAACAATTTCCCTCAAAGAACAAACCAAACATGCCCTGTTGTCGTGAGAGAAAAAGTGCAGAAGGAAACATCCATTGAAACTCAGTTTGCTGCTGTGATGCTTCATTGGCATCTCATCTTGGGTGCAAGTTCATCAATGTTTGGGGTCAGGCTCTGAGCGGAGGAGACCCTCAGGATTGAGTGAAGGTGTGCGTGCAATATACCGGCGTGCCAGATCTAATAGAAATTAAAAATTATCCTGCTGGCCGAAATTAAATCCACCACGGGCCTGATTTGGCCCCCGGGCCTTGAGTTTGACACATGTGCTTTAAACAAAGCCCTCCAAAACAGCACATTTTTCCTTGTATTATCCACTTCCAGATTCTAATACTTCATACAAACAATCCATCATACTATTCCTGCCAAAGACGGTCAGTTGTATCTAATAGAAGTGAGAAAAAAACAACTGAAATTGATAAAGTGTTTCCTCCTTTTGCAAAACAAACATCCAGGTGCTATTTTTCATCGACACTTAAACCTAAATCAACTTTTTAACAACAGAGGGTTCGAAAATCCATTTAAGGTTCTTGATCTCATCAAATCATACTATAATCGTGTTCATTCACGACAGCTTCAAATCGATTTGTTTGGCTTAATCTGTATAGTCTCACTCCTGTTAAAGACACCAGAATAGATCCTCTACAGTAGAGAGTGGATTACAGAATGGTCTGGACTTTTTACTAAGCCATGAGAAATGTTGCCTATTCTGCAGAAGGTAATACATTTAGATTTAAATTGAGTACAAGGATGAGTTATTCTGTATCTCATTATTGTAAGAGCTCGGGGAGGGACAGAGACGGTATAATGCTGCCATCAAGTGCTACTCATAAGCTGCTACTTCCAATTTTGAAAGGTGTAAATATATCTCATGTGTTGCCTCTTGTTAGGAATAATAACAAAATGAACCCCTTTACAGGAAGTAGCTCTTGGATTTTGTTTTACTTTGTAAACCAAAATGCACTGAGAAGTTTTATGTTGGAGGAAAAAGACTGTGTAGCAGCTAGGGTTTATAGATAAACACATGACATTTATTCACTTGAATAGCCAACATGAATCACTCTTCCCATCAATTCCTGCCAAAGATCTGAATAATCAAACCATTTAAATAAATAAATAAACAGTGGAAGCATAGCCCTGCTGCATGTTGTTCAAATCAATAATATGATATTCCTTTCTGGCTGCTTCTCACTCGGTGTCCATGTTAATGACCACTGGTCCAAAAAAAGAAATGTCCAGTCAGTCTGTAATTATAATAGCAACCATTTCATGATCTGATTACAGCTTTAAACGAGCTGAGGAGCTGCACGGTATGATTAGAGACCCGGGGGGCTGATTGTCGTTGAAAGCTTGTCAGAGAAAACATCCAAGTGTTGTGGTTGAACACGTTTGAATCAAGAATAAAACTCTGCTGTGACTCAGAGTCATTTGGCTGTGAATTATCACTCCGAGCAAAAACATTTGAGCCTCAAATGAAGTAACCATCAGGAGAATGAGTGCTGCAACAGCTGCTGTGGCTATTCTCTCACCCAAAGGCTCTTGTGTATCCAAGATACTTTCCTGATTCATCTCTAATGCATGAGGCTCAACCACCTCTGTAACCTTGCTGTAAGTGAGCATCTGATATGAATGAGTGTGTGCCGGGGGAAAGTCAAGGCAGTTCTCACGTCAAACCGAGCCTTTCTCACTGGCCTCTCAGCTGTTGTGTACAACGTTATTGGAGGAAAATGTTTAGTCAACATTGAGCCCAGATTAAACACCATGCAGTGATTTTAAAAGTACACATTAAGAAGGAAGTAGCTGCTCAGAGTTTCACGGCGGAGAAGCACCTGTCCAGTGCCGTAATGAGCCGGAGGCAAGCTGTTTCAATGCATCAAACTGATTTAGTTGCTGCATATGCATTTATATAGGCTGTTTACTGGCAGTAAGATATCAAGTCTGTTGCTTTGCCTTTTTTTCGCTCATCATGCACAACCTGTTTCATTAAAAGTGTATGACCTAGGCCAGGGGTTTTCAAAGTGTGGGAAGTGCGTTTTGATTCAATGCTGAGTACAGCCAAACTTGACAGTCTCTTCTCTGTCATTGTAGACCGCAAATGCCTCGTTCCTTCCGTGTACTTGGGTCCGATAGCTTCTCGTTTTGCGCCGTCCCCCCGTTCAAATGAAATCGCCGCCAATCACATTTCAACGCTCGCGCCAGGGCCGGGGGAGGGGTTACAAGGCTCGCGTCTTGTGCTGCATTCACTTGCACTCGGACATTAGGGATTTTCTCTCATAAATGTCCGATCAGCCACAACTTTTATTTCAAAACAAAGCTGCCAACTGGGGTGGCAAGGCTATTTTTAGGGTGGCAGTTGCCACCCCATGCCACCCCGGTAGATCCGCCCCTGCTTGACCGGTACTTGCTTTTGATCAAAGTCAATGCGGAAAACCCGCACTCACACAGGTAGGCGGAGGTGAAGGGAATGAGCACTTTTACAGCCTTTTTGGTGAGGTGGGGGAACTCGGTCTTCACAGACAGCAAAAAAGTGTGCAAGTGACGTTTTCTGACAGACGCTGTCTCCTCTCTCACTTTAGGTAACTTCACAAAAAATCGATCCATGTTGCCGCTAACATAAAGTTAGCTGAAGTTAACTAGCCTGAAGCTCTCTGCCCCCCCCCCCCCCCCGGGGAGGCGCGCTTCACACATTGAAAACCGCTGACCTAGACCACCAAATAAAACTCACACATTCAGGATTTGTAGATTACTTTGTTTTAACCCATTTGTTAAATCACCACAGTCCTATGAGACTTAAACAAGAGTGATGAATGGGTCGGTCATATGTGCCTGAAAATGTAACTAACACAGAGTCTGACCTTTAAACCTGCTTCATCATAGCTTTGAATAGGTGTTATTGAAAAAGCAATTTTTGGCGTCATTACATTTTGACATTCCCAGGGTATTAATATTGATCTCACCGTACTGTGTTCTGAACTATTATCCGATGACCTTTGTTCTGTTTAAACTCAGTGATTGACTAAAGTAGCCCGTGTGTCTTCATTAATGCCTGATGTCCGGAAAGTTAATGGTCATGTCAGTGCTTATCTGTTTCTCATGAGAATGGACAGTGACACATGGACTACATTATACATTTTGTATTGTTTGATTACCTGAATCACTTCAAATGAGCACATCTCATGTTGGATGATGTACGGGTTGTGGTATGAGGATAAGAAATACTTTGCACTCTTTGCACTAAATCTAGGTTTCATTACTTAAACGACCATGGCTGATGTTAGGCCTTGTTGGTTAATTATCAGGGACTTTGTTATGATTAGGCACCAGGTCATATATTAGAGCTTTCTGTTATAGTTCTTTGATGTTCATGTCAATGCCATTTAATAAGGACATAAACGCAGAATTATGCTTGTAACTGCCATTTAATATCACACAAAATATAATGAAATGATGACTTGAAGGACAATTTACCAATACCTTAGTTGTGTTATTAATGTGTTAATTAGGAGCAATCGCAAAGATATTCTGTTTCTATTTTATTCTATCTATTAAGACACTAATACTTCAGAAAACAATGGTATAAAGTTATTAAGAAAAAAATGGAATGAAAGAATAAAAGCCCTCCAGATATGACACATAGTACTGTATAGCTCTGGGTGCTGTGCTTACCCTAGTTTTCAGGATGAGGGTCAAGATACTTTTGCTTGATACAGAAGAAAATAATTATACATCAAGGCCAATCCAGTTAAATAAATGGCATCTACTCACCCTTCTTTAAAGCCTAAACATATCTCTCCATAACACACTTCTCCCACTTGTGAATCAGCGCTTGAGCATTTATATATTATATGGATCGATTAGGAGACCTCAGGTGGAAAGGGAAAATAAAAAAGATATATAGTTGGCAGAAATGAGGTAAGGGAGAGGAAAAGACAAGGTATTATTGACAGTGTTTTCCTGTGTTGCAGATCCACTACTGGGAGCGGGACAAGCAGAACCAGAGTGAGAAGGTCAAGGTGATCTTTGTCCCAGACACCCGGGTGCAGCTCTCCAACCTGACCAGCTACACACCGTACCTGGCCACTCTGACGGCCTTCAACACAGCTGGAGACGGCCCCCCCAGCGACCCCCGCGGGGCCCGCACCATGCAGTCTGGTAGGCAGTGCTGACAGCATGGTTACACAATCAACAAGTATTGTTTTATAGCTTTTATTACATTGTTTGATTCGTCTTCCTTCATGTTCCCGCAGCTCCCAGCGCTCCCAGCTACCTGTCCTTCTCAGAGGTGACCGGGGGGAGTGTGAATGTGTCCTGGGGGGCTCCCCTCACTCCTAATGGACAGCTGGAGGGCTACAGGATCATCTACCAGCCCACTGCGCCCGTACAAGGTGGGCACGCACATGCTGTAAACACACAGATATGCATATTGAAGCCCTGAGAGCCAACTTATGTTGCTGATACATTTTATAACCTGATCTCAACCGATTTCTCTGATATATTTATGAATTAAGAAGAAATATTTGGGGGAAATTCAAGGGTTTGTTGTTGAGTGACTTTCGCACTTCAAGTAGTGGATTTCCCCTTTTCTTTTAGTTTTTTTACCTTTCTTTCCCTTTGTTGGCCCTGATATGCTATATAAGATCATTATTTTAATCATTATCAGTATCTCTCTTGATGCATACACTGCTGTTTTTCATAATTTGCTAACACACATTATATTTACCCTGTGTTTAAACTGCATGGAGAAATAAAACTTCAACAACATCAAATTAGGAATGCTTTTAGTCAGATTTAGAACATGGGGTAGTGGTTTGCTTCAGCTTGCCATGGCCACAATGACATTTACAGCAACAAACACAAAAATAAAAACATGTTGAGGGGAAACACTGACTTTTTTAACGTGTGTGTGTGAGAGCAGGAGTGAGTAAACTGGTGACGGTGGACGTGAGGGGCAGCTGGCAGAGATGGCTGAAGGTCCGAGATCTGATCCGAGGAGCGACGTACGCCTTCAGTGTTCAGGCTCTCACCGTCAGCTACGGCCCGCCGGTGCACGCTAACGTCAGCGCTCAGCCCGTGCAAGGTAGGCCTGCCGTCACTCTGTGTGTGTCTACTTCTTTAATCGTGTCACAAAGACAAACATCTGTTCATTTGTCCCATTATGGGGACTTAACTAGGGCTGCATACTAACCCAAAGTAACTCTTTGAATGAGTGGGCAATGTGTTTAAACCAGAATGCATTACACAGCTGCTTTAATAGACAATGAATGGAAACATGGAACTGATGGACCCTCACTGGTTTATAACCTACTCAGTTTCAACATGACAGTGTTGTATTTATGGGATGACAGACTGTATGGTTGTATGAAACTGAACAGTGATGTTGGTAAAGGTTGGGATAAGTTCACTGTGTGTAAGTTAGTTTATTTATTTGTTTATAGTGTCGTGGACAGTCCCCATTGATCGACTGTCACAAAAAACTGTAAATGCACTACAAAAACTCAAAATCTTGCCCAGTATAGTTGTCTAATATCTAGTCAGAATATGTCTTTACACCTGATATAAGACATAATAACTTCAGAAGTAACACTGCAGTGAGATATCGGGTCTTGTTTTTAGACAATGCATCATCTTGTTAAGTCAAAAAATCTTATTTTGAGATGTATCTCAGATGATTTTTTTACTAACATCAGAAAACAGAAAACCTTTGAGCATGCGTGGCTTATATTGTAACACAGCGTTTCCTGATTCTGGTAAAAATAAGTTTTCCCAGCTAATTATAAGATCTGATTTATCTAGATATCCCCTCTTATTTCAATCAATCTTACCAAGCACATTTTCACTGGTTCTATTGTCAGATTTTTGCACTTATTTCAAGAAAACAGCTTGTTTTCATTAACGTTTAACTTGTTTTTGGAGCAGCATTTTTTCCAGTGTGGAGCCGCTTTAGCCAACATTGCTAATTTCCAGCTGTTCGGCAGCTCCTGCCAGATGATAACGGACACCCTTAAAATCACAATACGTCAACAGCATTAGTTATAAAAAAAGGTAGATACAGGCGAAAGGATAAAAGACAAGAATAAAATGCAAACAACACACGTTACTACATACATGTCACATATAACACATCACAAGCACATAACAGAAACGAGGGGCAACAGCATGTAACACCCACTCACCATATCCAACACAGACTAGTGTGTGCCGGTGTAGTTCTCAGTGAGCCATGTTTTTTTTAGTTGGCTAACGTGTGATCCCCTCTGACACTACAGGCTCCCCGGGGTCTCCTATAGAGATGTCCATCACCAAGGCGTCGTCGGCACTCACCATCCACTGGTCGGACGGAGAGACGGGTGCAGCGCCGGTCACCGGATACGTTATCGAAGCCCGTCCATCAGGTGGGCTCACACACACTCTGTCCGTTCACATGCAGCTTTTCATCACGTGCACCGATTCCTATCATTGATTGAGTGGGAGGTAAAGGATGGCACTAAACCTCCCTGAGTGCAGCTTTCTCCAGATTCATTGAGACCTGCTGTGAAATGTAAGTCAGCAGCCATTTCCCAATAAAGATTACCAGACGTATAAAATACAGAAAGGCAACGTTCGTAGCATCCTGCAGGAGAGAGGGGAGACTCTGGTTTTCTTCTACCACTGATATTAAAAATGGTTATACCTCGTTATTACTAGTAATAACAGTAAACATCGCCAAAAATAGTTACATCTAAATCGACCATTTATATGTTCTGCAATCATATTCTAACAATTAAAAGGTATATTTCTCAACTTGAGCTCTACTCTATGGTCTGCTTGTCCATTAATCTCTCTCTCTCTCTCTCTCTCTCTCTCTCTCTCTCTCTCTCTCTCTCTCTCTCTCTCTCTCTCTCTCTCTCTCTCTCTCTCTCTGCAGATGAAGGAGTGTGGGACTCCTTCATCAGACTCCTCCCTCCCACCAGCCGATCCGTTTCCGTGCCGCTGGAGCGCCTGAGGTCGGGGATCAGCTACGAGTTCAGAGTCATCGCTGTTAATCGCTATGGTTACGGACAGCCCAGCACACCCTCTGCTGCTCTCGCTGGTAAACAGACACACAAACACACTCTCTCTCCCTCACACACTGCTGGAGATCAGGCTAATGAACATATCCAGGGTGATCCAACTTGTCTGATTGGGGTTTGATGGAATTTCCAGCCAACACTGAGAAGTTACTGTGGCTGTGTGTCTGCTGCCATCTAGAGGCAGAGGCGTGTAACTACAGCTCTGCTTATAGGCAAAGAGAGCGTGACTCCATTTGTGTTTCTAATCTGTGCAAAATCTGTGCAAACTGTTTGAAGAACCAGCAGGAGTTGTTCTATCAGTAGGAAGAGAAAGAGTCTTTCCTCTAAAAGACATCATGAACGGACTTTAAAGAATGTTTTCCGGTCCTGGGGGACAAACTATAACTTACATTTGAATTAAAGCAAAGGAAAAGTTTGATTCTGTTTTGTTTCTTATAGCCTCAGAGACCTAGGCGCCCATTTGAAGAGATTACAGTCAAGGCAAAAAACGTTTTTTCAAATTCAAATCTCAACTCAGAGAGTGCAAGAGAATGGAGAACTTTTCATACTGACTAATTAACTTTGATTAATGTATTATTCAGTGGGTTTTATCTTTATTTGCTTTTCTTCATCCTATTTATAGTTTTTTTTATATTTTACGTTTAGTATCCAGTGTGTATTATGTCCTGACCACATTCTGTCCATTATATATTCCTCTCTCACGTGTTCCTCCTCCTCCTCCCCTCCCTCCTGTGAGCAGCGCTGTCCGAGCGTCCGTTCTACGAGGAGTGGTGGTTCCTGCTGGTCATGGCTCTGGTGGGGATCATCCTCATCCTCGTGCTGGTCTTCACTCTGCTGCTGCACGGACACAGCAGCAAGTACAAAGCCTGCGGGACAGGTGTGTGTTCCCAGCAGACATGTGATGTGATACTTCACAGGAGGACAGAGTGGGGATCTCCAGGATGGCTTTTGCCTCGGGATGCATTTATCAATCATAGACTTACCACATCTTCCCTTCATGGATTTTTAACAGTGTGACATGCTGTATTGAATGTAGAGGGAAATGGCCTCTAGCGGTCCGGTTCAAACCGGATCACTGTTACCTGTCAGAGAGGAGAGGAAGGTCGGCCTCTCAGGAAACATCATCTCCAGGAGGATAACGATTTAAATTACCTAGCTGTTATTTCCTTACAATATGAATGTAAGAGTAATGGTGAAACTATTTAATCAATGTTCTTTATTAATTTGGGTAATGCTATTTATTCAAAAAAAAATACAATTAAATCTTACATAAAACTAGAGCAAACTAAAATGTCATTTTAAGTGGATTCAGTTATTCTAATCCAACAGTTTTGAGTTTAAAATATTATCAATCTTTCTCCAGAATATCTGTCATGACCTTTACCTGAAAGAGACTGCTTAATGCTGTGGCTTGTTGTAAGAGCAGATACTTTGAGACATGTTTCAGTTTAATGTCTCAGCAGATATTTCCACACACCAACATGTTATTCATCAGGAGCTTCTCACATCGTAAGCCGTGTTTCCTCACAGAAAAATAAAAGGTTTTCCAGTTTTTTATACTCAAATCTGGACGGCTTCATTATATTTCGGTGTGCACCACCTCCACAGGGTTATGCAGGGAGCGAGCAGCCTGGAGCGGAGAACTCAGAGTTACTCAAGGAGGCTCACTGACATGCATTGAAGGACAAACTCCCTCCTCATTATAACAAAAAAGTTGTTCCGTCTGATGTCAGTAACTTCTTTAAAGAAGGCTCTTCGTGTTGATGCTTTTCTTCCTGTTTTCATGACAGTTTCTGCTCCTCTCGGTGTTCCTGTGATGTTCCCCATTGTGGGCGCAGCATTGCTTTTACACATCTGTGTGCGTGCCAACATCTGTAATCTAAAGTTAGCTCTGAGGCAGGACGAGCACACACAAAACTAAAACTAGAGAAAAATCAATGAGACCGTGGGAAACAACAGATGTTATTTTGGTTCAGATTACCTTGAATCATTCAATCATCTTTCTCCCAATTTAAAATATGATATTGTTTCCTTTATTGTTCCATTTGTTGTGGTTATTAGTGGATAAATGACTGCCGTGTTGAAAGCGCCAAATGATGCATCCTGATTTAATATGCTCCTTATTGTCATTCCTGAGAGGTAACTGAACGCACCATGAATAAAACAAGAGGTGCATATAAACTCAGAGAGCAGTGGTTCAATTTCATTTTTAAAACATTCTCAGCCACATCCAAGTGACTGAACTGCTTTTAATTGAAGTTTTTACCTGACACTCGTCCATCTGGTGTCTTTTACCCTCTATCTTCCTCCAGGGAAGCACATGTCCACAGCGGAGGAGTCGGTAACCCTGGACAACGGAGGTTTCACTGCTCTGGAGCTCAACAGCAGGACGATCAACAACAAGAACTCCTTCCTGAAGAAAAACGGGACCAGGTGGGCTCTCAGACACACACACACACACACACACACACACACACACACACACACACACACACACACACACACACACACACACACACACACACCTTCCTGGAGTTGTTTCAGTTATTGGATTTGTTGTAATGTTTCATTTATTGTGTGTGTGTGTGTGTGTGTGTGTGTGTGTGTGTGTGTGTGTGTGTGTGTGTGTGTGTGTGTGTGTGTGTGTGTGTGTGTGTGTGTGTGTGTGTGTGTGTGTGTGTGTGTGTGTGTGTGTGTGTGTGTGTGTCCAGGTCTCCTCCCAGGCCCAGTCCAGGTGGTCTTCACTACTCTGACGAGGACATCTGTAACAACTATAACGGAGCTGCGCTGACTGAGAGCACCACGCTCACTGAGAAACCCACCGAGGTCTCAGAGTCAGAGGTAACACTCTCCCTCTCTGTATCCCTGTCTTACATTTAAAGTGGAGGAACCTGTGTTACTGGCCGTCCTACAAAATGTTTTGTGAAAGTAGATATTGAGTTCTTTGTACTGTCTGCCGTGGAGGAAGAAAAGTAAAGGTGGAGGTGAACAGTGAAAAGAAAGTACACTAAATGACTAAATTACTGAGCTGTGTCCAACCTTCTGCCTCCACCGACTCAGGCTAAGAAGAGACATCTGAGCAGAGTAGCATGTCACCTCAGTGTCTTGGTTTAACTCACACCTCTCCCCATGTTTCCTGTCTAATGCTGTCAAATAAAAACAAAAAGGAAAACAAATATAAGGAATAAGACAGCATTTTTGCTCTTCCAGTTCCCTCGTCTTAAAGTCTTTTTTAAAATATATTTTCTTTGGCAAGACGCCTGAAATATGTCAGTTAATACTGAACTGTGGACATTTTGAAACCCTTATATTTCTTACAAAAGGCAATTGCTAACCAAAGCTAAAGGACACTACAGAGGTTGTTAGCGAAATCAAACTTCATCACAATGAAAGTTTCCGTTTCATGACGTTTATACGCTTCAAAAATCATAAAAGCGGTGTTCACTGCGATGCTAACTTCTGGGTGGGAATACAATATAGCATCAAGATACAATATATCCCTCTACTGTCAACCACCGATGTGCAGACCCCTGAGCTTAGACCTTAATCTGCACTTTCCTTCCTGTCTTTCTCTATGACAATCTGCTGTGTGTTTGTACGTAGTTAACTGACAGCGACTACGAAGACGAGCAGCCCAAGCACTCCTTCGTCAACCACTACATGAGCGACCCCACCTACTACAACTCCTGGAAGCGGCAGCCCAAAACCCTGAAGCCCATCGGCTCTCCCTTCGGATACGAGGAGTGTGCCACCGCAGACACGGAGCCGTACTACCAGACCGTGGTGACGCAGCACAGCACCGGCGGCGCGTACACGCCCACGGGGCAACCGGCGCTCACGCACGTGAACCCCAACACTAACCCGCCCCCCGGCTCACGCACCCCCGTGACCGGATTCTCCTCCTTCGTTTGACTCTCGAGACTAAACCTGCACAAAATGACACACACAATTACACAATGATGGAGGGGGCCCGGTGTGTGTTTGGACTAAAGGAGACAGAGCAGGCGGCGCCGGAGGGGGGGGGGGACAAGGTGAGGAGACGTGGGACGGACTGGTGACGAAGCAGCACCAAAGAACTAAACGTACACCTCTCACTCGCCTTCCCCCCTCGTTCACAAAGATCCTCACTGTGTTGATGAGTGTGTGTGTTGCTCTCCTGCTCTGTTATGCCTCTGTGTCACTGTGCCCACACACACAGTTCTCGTTTCCACACACACACATTCACACTGGCGTATACCACCATGCCTATTCCAGAGACTCTCCGACGAGAGCTGCGACTACATGTTTGTGTAAATGTTGAGGAGAGCATTCGAACTCGGGAACATGGAATTTCTGCACAACCTTCTTCACTGTTTTTCTGTATTTACACATAAGTGCACAAAGACACACGCATGCACTCCCTTTCAGGGTCTCCCACAGGGGGAGAAGGACTACAAGGCTGAGGAGCGTCATTCAGAGACGCCACAGAAGGGAGCAGCTGTTGTCGACAGACTGGTACATGTACACACACACGGAGCTGTAAACCACTACCACAGAGGGAAAGAAAAAAGTAACAATCAATAATCACATTTTTCGAACTTGAAAAAGGACAGATAGTGAGCGTGGGCAGAGGTTTTTTAGAAGTGAAGGCATTCTCAGTGAGAGTGTTGTGTGGTTTCTAAGAGCGTCATGTGATGTTCGGGGTTGGGGGTCGGAATATATGAAAACCATGTTTTTTACCGTCTACTGCCTGTTGTCAGCGCTCCTTATACCACAGCCTCCCGAGCCATAATGCTTGCACTGAGCCGAACCCCACACATTTCATCTTCTGTTGAAGTTTCATTTTTTACAATTAAGAGTGTGTGTGTTTGAGTGTGACACGTGTGCGTAGAAGCATGCGTGAATAAATGGCTCTACGCTCAGCTGGGAAGCCTGTTCATCCGTCTCCGTTGTTCCCTGCGAAGCAAAGCGTGCCATTTTATGTGTGTTTGCTTTTTAAGATGGATTTTGTACAGGGAAACCCTTTTTACTTGTGAGGTGTTGTATGTAGTTTTGGCCACGTTTGTGTAATTCAAAGCAAATATTGAAACAGCACTGCAATTATGGATGAGGGGGAAAATAAATCATTTAGTAAGAATGATGATGATAAAATATAAGCTGCAGAGAATGAATGAAAGAAGACAAAAATCATTCTTGAAGGAGCTGCGTTCGATTCAAGTTTAAATAATAGGCCTCGCTATCTGCTCCAGCCAGACTGACACATGTACTTTGTACCAAGTGCAAACAAAAATCATCTGTAAGTTTTCTCTCATGTATAATTTAAAGATTTATCCGCCCTCCCTCACTCTGTCACGCTTGTTTTGAGTCCCATTACAGTGTGTGAATAAATGGTTATTGTTTAACAGTGTGTCTTTGTGGTGTGTTTTAGTACGGAGACGAGGAACACGCCTCTTTGGAACATCTTCTACATTACACTGACTGAATTAAAGATAAGCCTTAACATTTGCCTCAGTGAACCTGAGCTGCACTGAACTCTAACTGGGCCTGCTGCATTGTTTGTGTATTTTTGTATTACAGCGGTAAAAAAGAGAAGTGCCACAGCTTTATCGGTTGCTGTCTATTAATTATTGTCTATCAGTGGTCTGCTCAGCATGTGATACTTTTCCCTGAATAAAGTGCTGCGTCCGAGGAAACTGATGGCAGCATGTAGTTGCACTATGAAACGATTATGTAAGAGATAATTCAGCAGAGGCAAAGTGCATTCCCTTTAACTGTGGCATTCACCTCATAAAACTATATGTTAAGTTTGTTAAGAGTTGGTTCACCCAAATGTTATTTTTAACCAAGATTTCTGTCTCCAATATCCTGCAATATAATGTTGGTAATCGGACATCTGGTTTAAACCTCTTAAGCCCTGAGCCTGTTTTTCAGGTTTCAGGCTCGAAAATGCTATGCCCAAAACAAATGACTATAACTTAACTTCCAAAAGGGTTATATGAATAATTTATTTTATCAAAGCAAGGTTACATCTGTGAGTTGGATGTAGAAGTGTCAGAATAAATATAGATGTTTCTGTGTCAGAGTAAATTCAGATGAAACATAGTAAAAAAAAAAGTTAAATTCTTACCTCCGCCTAAAAAAAAAAACATTACTTATAGTGAAAACCACCCTTGAATGATGGTATGGTAGACTAAAAGGTTTAGGAATCCAAAGTATAACATATAATAAGTACCCTGTATCAAGATTGAGGCAAAACAAGTGAAATTTGATCTTTTTAGAGAGGTTTAGCAAAACCTTTGGGCACATTTGGATACCATCAGTGCCATTTTACCTTTTTCAGGTACCATACTGTAAAAATAATTTTATTATCACTATAGGTAATCATTCCATCCAAATACAAGAGTTTTTATTTAAAAAATAATAATAATTTGTTTTTTTAATTACATTTCCTTTTTTTTATGTAAATGGGTGTGTGTGTGTGTGTGTGTGTGTGTGTGTGTGTGTCTGTGTGTGGACTTTGCCACAGTCCTTACATGTTTATCACCCAACTAACACTTCTAGGAAGGTTTACTTACACAATAAAAATTAGGAAACATAGGATAAATTTGTCTCTAACAGGAGCAGTTTTAAAAAATAACACACTAAAAAACTACACTAAAACCGAAATAACACCACAAGCATTTTTTTTGTAAACACTGGCAAAAAAGAAAAAATGTACACAACCTGAATGTGTTTAGTGTTTAGTGTTTTTGAATTGAGGAACCAGGCACTTAGTGCAGTAGATAGGTCTTCACCGTTTTGTTGCCAGCACCAGAGCACCTCCTGAGCGCGGTGGCATCTTCCCCATAATACTTGGGAATGCATACGAGTGATGATGGGGGGGGAGTGGTGGTGGTGCTGCAGGGACTTCACCCCTCATATCTGCAGCAAGCTGCTCCCTGAAAGACTTTTGGGTGTGTGGCTTCGTCCTGCCGGGGTCACCCCTCATCTTGTGCAGCTCCTTGTGGAGAAGGAAGCTGTTCACCACTGCAATGTCCAGAAAATGGTAAAAACAAGTCTTGTACCATTTCATGGTTTTGTGGTGAACGCTGTAGTACCCAATCAAAGCATCGGACATATCCACGCAGCCCATGCTTCTGTTGTAGTCCACCACAGTGTCAGGAACGGTAAAAATCTTAGTCTGCCACACACCAGCCCGTTTCACTTTCCTCCTGACAGTGTCCACTGAATCAGAAGATGCAGAGGGAGGCTGGGTTAGTACTGGTGCAGACGTCCGGCGGCGTAGCTTGGATGTTGATGTCTCTGGGGCAACTGTATGCTGATCTGATGCACGTCGTAGCTCGGATGAGGCTGAAGTTGATGGCTGTGATCAAGAAGCCATTTCATACTCGTCTTCATCACTGTGAAAACAAATGTGGAAAAAACAAAATCGATTACTTCACTGGCTTATTCTTTCAAAAATGTAACTCAAATCAGAAATAATTCCTCCATTTAGCGTGTGTGAAATAACAGTATACACATATATATATAGACTGGGTTGATATACAATACAGCTTTATTTATATACTGCCGTGTTATAATCACGAAATACAATGAATCTATTGATAAGTGTTCACCAACACGATGTTCCCATTGTTTTCGTTTCTCACAGTACAATGTCTGTAGAACTACAAAACAGAATCCATTTGGCGTGTGTGGAATAACAGTTTATACCTTAATTTTCGGACTATAAGCCGCGTCTTTTTTCCCTATTTTTCGACCCTGCGGCTTATATAACGGTGCGGCTAATCTTTGGTATTTTTACAGCTAACGGACACTAGGGGACCTCCTAAATCTATTGATTTTTACAGGTTACAGTCCACCACCTTTAACTCTATGGGCTCTATGGCCGGTCCGCCGTCCCCNTCATAATCAGGGTCTGATTGTGGCCGAAGTACATCCTCATCTTCTGACGGAGAGTCAGCGAACACCATTTCCACGGCGTCTTCAAGCTTATACAGCCTCTTTCTGGGTGCTATTATTTGCTCGAATAAGTCCTAAAAGGAAATAAATCCTTGTCCTTGTCCTTGTAATATTATGGTCTATTGCCTGCTGTTTTCTCTGTGTTCTCTCTTCGCTGTGTTCGTTGCTGCTGTGCTGTGCTAGTGAGGTTGTGCGGCTGGCTCTGCTGCTGCTCCATGTGCGTAAAGCTGCCGCTGCTGACATTATTCTTACTGCGCAGGATCCTATCTCTGGAACCCATTGGTCGATTTGGGTGATTGACACCTTTTTTGTGAAACTTTAGAGCCAATAGAATCGAGGGGGAGTTAGTAAATCCCGCTAAACACTTACGTCAAGGAGAGAGAGGCTTGCGTAAACAGCACATGAGACAGCCGGAGCCCCGGACTGCAAAACTTTATACCTACTCTGCGGCCATGAATGTAATGATGGATTATCAGCAACAATTCTAAAGTGACTAAGAGACATTGGATTAACCTTGAGCAGCGTTTTTATTCCCTTGAACACGACTTTTGATCACAAAACAGCAACGGTAAGACATAATTATTGTTATGGTTTACAACACTGTTGTTGATTTCTTGCTCTGTTCTGGCTGCTAGCTCAGTGAGTTTGTGTCCTACAGTGATGATACTTATATCAAAATAATATGTGGAGTATCAGCTTTCAGATGATATGTAGTTTGTGCAGAACATAATAAGTTTTAAAGATTGTTTTTGCTAGTTAGCACCGGAAGTAGCATCAGCCTGTTTTCACTAAGGGCTAATGCTAACGCTTCTTGTGAGACTTGTGTTTTGTTTAGGTAAAAATGGCTCATATTGTCAGGTTGCTGAGTTTTTAGAGAAGTTTACACATTTAAACATCAACAATTATACTTGAATAATAATATAGCTAACTGTATATACTTCTGGAAAGAGCCATTCTGCATAATGAGTACTTGTACTTTTTGTACTATTCGTTTATATGTTGTTAATGTTATTTAAGCCAGATTCTGAATGTGTTTCTAGGTTTCTACACTGACATTGGTAAAAGAGAAAGTAGGCCTACTCCTTCCGGCAGCGGATGTTTTTTTCTGAATATCTGTCGTGTGTCTCCCCGCCAACAGGGGCCGCTGTGGGCCGGGGAGACAGAACAGACCCCACGAACTCTTGTGATGTCCGGAAGAAGTCAGCATGGCGGATTTATTTTTCACTTCATGCTTTTCTGTTCACTATTCTGCTATAATGTATTGACAATTATAACGGATATGTAACCCCGCGTGAGCTGTGTATTCAGACAGTAAGGGCTGCAGAGGGATCTCGCTGCACCGCTGCCTATCTCCCTGCTCACATCGTGACTTGTGACCCAGTTGGGTTTGGTGAGTTTCCTCGTCTTTTATTGCTTAATACTCATCTCAAAACGTTATCATGCTCGTGTAGTAGTGTGTTTTTTACATACTCAGACTGCGTGCGTTTGACGTTGTAGAGGCTGCCCCCTGGCCTATTATGATGATTATTATAGACAGAATGAGACTACGGTAATGCAGGGGTAGCTTTAGGCACAACGGGAGTCTATAGTAAGGTTAATGCAGTTCATAGTCATGTTTATATATTATACTTGATAGAGACGGGGCGAGAAAACACATGGCAATGATACACCGTGATTAACCAAAGGGTATAAATAAAATGGTGCGGGATATGTTGCAAAACCAATGTGCAAGTAATGCAGTTGAAGTAAATTATATATATATGTCAGGAAAATGAATAAATAGCCTACAATGAGCTAAATAATACTGCGGTCAAGCCAGCCTCCACTTCGGAAAATACAGTCAAGCCAGCCCGCCCGTTGTATCGCCGTGTGCGAATATAATATGCATTAGAGTAGAGGCTTGGAAAAACAGCCTTCAAAATAAAAGCACTTACTCGGTCAATAACAAATATACCTAAAAAACATACCAAACATATTCATACTGGAGCTTAAATTAAGAAATATCGACTATATAATGTGATCAATAATAATTTTAAAACAAACTACGTAACTACCACATTATAACTGAGTGAATTTAAAACGTATTAAGGATACAGCTATGAAGTTATCTGACCATTACATTCATTATTAAAATGTCCATTTCCACTGGGTGACTAATTTCAATTGATTTCAAAATCAAGACAATCTGATGTAGAGTTTCAAAATTAAAGGCCTCAAGTCTCATATATGACCTATCGTCCTTCTGTTTTTAGATAAGAATAAAACAAAAACTCTCCATTATCAAAGACTAATATCACTTCAGGGTAGGGCTGTGCGATTATGGCAAAAATCATAATCACGATTATTTTGGTCAATAATTGATATCACGATTATTAAATACGATTATTCATTGACTTTGAAAATATCAATTTATCGAACTTTAAAACAAATAAGAAAAAATAATTTGAACAGTATCTTTTTAACTGTTGATTACCCTGAACGTATAATTCAACTGAAAAACCAATACAAAAATAAATGATACATTTATATTTACATTTAAATACATAATGTCAAAATAATAAATACCAATAAACAAAATAAACAAATATTTTGGAGCGCACTTCAACAAGATACTAAACATATGTAATATGATAAATACAAATAAATTAGACTAAAATAAATTAGATCAAATATGTTGCAGTGCACTGTCACAAAAGCAAAATAATCGTTTTTCCGATTATGTTGTTTTCGTAATTGTGGCAGGCCAACATCGTAATTGCGATTAAAATATGATTAATTGCACAGCCCTACTTCAGGGTGATAGCAGGACACCCCATCTAGTCACTCAGAGAGAATCAGGACAATTGGATGGATGGATTGGGAAATTGGGTTGTCACAGCAGCATGGAGTCATTGTACAGAATCAAAATAATCTTAAAATAGAAGAAAATACAAAATAGAATAAATCTGAAAAAATAGAAGAGAAATAAAGGTTAAAGCAATAATCAGGGCTCGATATTAAGGACTGCCCGATGGCCCGGGGCCATCTAGTATTTAGCTCGGGCAGTGAAGCCTCACCTGCTGGTGGCCCGATCGGGCAATCTATTATGCCAGTATCATGCAGCTCGCGGATCCAGTAATGAGTAACCCGACAGTAAAACTAAACATATCTATAACTAGTTACGGTAGTTTGAGAGGTAATTAAAATAGCTATGTGTGATATTCTAACCTGAAGTGTGTGTTTTGTCCGCTCACCGCTGCATGTGATCATGCAGAGCTGCGTGTCGACTCGTCAGCAGCAGCTGATCTCTCTCTCCCGTCAGATTAGACTTCACTCGCGTTTATGTCCATATCGATCAGATCCAGCTAGTTCTAGCTAATGATATGACTACCTGCTTATTAAAAGACACCTAAACAATAAGTGTCGCTATGCAACTGGGTGAGGCCACAAAGTATAGCGCAGCATTATGCATTTGTTTACATGCCCACCGGAACCCCGAGGCATTAGCAACAGATTAACGCACAATCAACCCATACAGGACATCTCTTTCTCCACATTAAGTGTTAGACATTAGAATTGACTATTCTTGTCTGTCACATACTCTTCTTGTCTGTCACATAAGTGGCGCAACTGAAGCGGTATTGCGCTAAAGGGAAATTATTTTGACCAAAGAGATTTAGATTTGCCGGCTAACGGGAACTCGACGTCACCATGTTGTGTGCTTCGCGGATGCGCTCGGCTCCTCTCGACTGCTGCTCGGTCAGCTTCCGGATGAGGAAGCATTCATTCGACCAACTTACAGTAGATAACATTACAAACATTTTTAACAGGGGCCATAATAGTGTAAATAGTGTTTGTTTTGGCAGTTACAACTGAATATAATGTTTTCTACATCTGGGAAGGCATTTGCCTTCATCAGATGCAGGGGGTAGACATTAAGGGGTGTACAATTATAATATTGTGGTGGTTCATCTTTATATTCAGTCTGTGGGGGGCCATCTAAAGGCTAATGTACAGATGGCTCCGAGCCATAGCTGATGTTGCCTAAAAATTGCTGCGCGCCCCACGAAAATTGACGCCGACGAAGGGTTGGGGATCTTCCCCCTATAACATTTAGATTTTTGCAGGTCTTAGATGCTTGTCTGGTGCATTCTCTAGACTGAATTATAAGATGAACCACCCACAATATCTATTAGACTACATTTCAAGTTGTATTCTTCATTTCACTTGTTGTGTGTGTTTGCTCGCTTGCATGCCGCCTGCATAGCTTATAATAAAATACTTAAGTTGCTGACCGAGCAGACCCCGAGGCAGCCGAGTGCATCCGGCGAAGCACAAACAATGGCGACGTCAGAGTTCCCATTTAGCAGCAAATCTAAATCTCCTTCGGTCAAAAGTCAGGTCAAAATTAATTTGCCTTTAGCGGCAATACCGCTTCAGTGCGGCGCCACTTATTGTGAGCAGACAAGAACAGTATTGTGAGCAGACAAGAGTAGTCAATTCTAATGTGTAACAACTAATGTGGAGAAAGAGATGTGCTGTATGGTTGATTGTGCGTTGATCTGTTGCTAATGCCCCTGGGTTCCGGTGGGCGTCAGTAAACCAAATGCATAATTGCTGGGCGCTATACTTTTGTAGCCTTCACCCAGTTGCATAGGCGACACTTTTTGTTTAGGTCACGGCGTTCTTTAATAAGGCAGGTAGTCATAATCATTAGCTAGGAACCCAAACATGGATCTGATCGATATGGACATAAAAGCGATGTGATGAGTCTAAATCTGACGGGAGAGAGAGATCATGCTGCCCTGCCGAGAGTCGACACCGCAGCTCTGCATGATCAACATGTAGGCGGTGAGCGCGAACAAACACCACTTAAGGTTAGAATATCACTCGTAAGCTATTGTAATTAACCTCTCAAACTACCTAAAACTATTTATAGATAAATGTTTAGTTTTACTGTTGGGTTCACTTCATTCCCTGGATCCGCGAGCTGCATGATACTGGCATAATAGATTGCGCCGATCGGGGGCGCATACAGCAGGTGAGGCTTCATTGGCCGAGCTAGAATACTAGATGGCCCCGGGCCATCGGCACGGCTTCCCTTAATGTCGAGCCCTGGATAGACAGACAACGGGAGAATACATTTGATATTCTCAAAAGTAATGCACTGCATACACGATGTAAGTACGATGTAGCAGACGGATCAAACAAAGTAGGGTGCTGGGAGTTAGATCTGGCTGGCCAGAGGATGAAGAGTTGTAGAGGGTTACCCTTGCTTTAGAAATATTTTTCTTTTTGTAGTTATGTACATGACAAATAAAGCCTTTGAATGTTGTTATGTCCATAACCAGGTGTCTGGCAAGCTTTTTACCAAAAGAGCCATTTTGGGCTTCTTTTCCCCCAAAAAATTTTTTTCTGGAGCCGCGCAAAACATATTTCATAGCTTGATAAGCTAAATAAAAGCTTCTATTTATTATTATATCAGAACAAAAATTCACAGCTTTTTTTGGCATTTATTAGGCTATTTATTAGCATTATAATAAAAACTGTTAACATCTATAACGAAACCAAAGAACCGCTATAGCGAGGAGAATTAAAAATAAGTAGCACCAGCCTACTTTAAAATAAATTAAACACAGCACATTGGGAGTCGCTCGTGCACATTCGAAGGAAAAAACTAAATATTATTAAAACCGGGCCCACTTTGAAATAAATAAAGACATATAGGCTTCACCCCTAAAAATAGTTAAGAAGGTAGGGTAGGAAGAATGGGAAAGCCAGATCGATTGCGCTAGAATTTGAAAAAATACACAAACGAAAAAATATGCCTCTTCCTTCAGACTTCCTCACAGAGCCCCTCCTCCAACACACACGAACACGCACATGATCAATGAGCGCACAAGATAAATGTGTGCACAGATGGAAGGCTGACAGGCTGACAGGCAAGTAGGCCATCCAGTTATTTTAGCCGGGCCGGCTCAGATGATTGGTCGTGCTTTTTACAGCGCTACGGCTTCCAGAGATTAATTTTTGTATGTATTTATTGTCAAAGCATTTAATATATTCATTGCTATCGGGATGTTAAGAGCATTCCATGGAATATAACAAAAAGTGTTTTCTGAAATAAATTACATACCCCATTGAATTATGACTGAAGATCGTCAGCTTTCTTCCTCTCCGTGTTGTTCCCGTTGTTCCTCGATACGTAAAGGCTGCAGTGCAGCACCTTTGAAAAACTTCTCTCTACATATCAAACATACCGGTAAACCAGCATCGTTTGCTGTGAAAGCATATAACTCTGTCCACACAGAATTAAATCCTGTGTTCCTCCGGTACTGTTCTTTGATTTATCCATAGTTCGCTCATCGAGCCGGGGGTCAGGTTATTCACCCGCAGGAAAAGTCGCTCGCGCGGGACCCTAGCAGGATGTGACGCATATTTTAGTTGACCTAATTAAAACCGTTTTGTTTTTTATTTATGTGTCACAGTATCACCTCAAAATACAAGATACGAAACATTTTCAACCATGCAACAAAATATAAATAGTCCTACAAATACTTTTATTTTATATCCTTCTTATTTTTGTCTAAGCTCAAGGGAGCCAGAGCAGAGGGCTTAAAGGGCCGCATGTGGGCCGCGGGTTGCCGACCCCTGTCCTATACCATTAGATATATTTTTAGGGGCACTGATATGCACAAATATTTTGTATTTTATTCGATTTTAAGATTATTTTTGATTCTGTACAATGACTCCATGCTGCTGTGACAACCCAATTTCCCAACTTGGGATGAATAAAGTATCCATCCATCCATCCATCCGTCTTTTATTTTGAAACTCTACATCAGATTGTCCTGATATTCTCTGAGTGACTAGATGGGGTGCCCTGCTATCATCCTGGAGTGAAATAAATCTTTGATAATTTACAGTTTTTTATTTATTCTTGTATAAAAACAGGACGACGATAGTCATATATGAGATTTCAAAAGTATTTTATTTTGAAACTCTACATCAGATTGTCCTGATTTTCTAATCAATTGAGTGATTAGCTGGGGTGTCCTGCTATCACCCTGGAGTGAAATTAGCCTTTGATACTGGAGAGTTTATGTTTTATTCTCATCTAAAAACAGAGGGACGATAGCTCATATATGAGACTTCAACGGTCTTTAATTTTGAAACTCTACAGATTGTCCTGATTTTGAAATCAATTGAAATTAGTCACCCAGTGGAAATTGACATTTTAATAGTGAATGTAATGGTCAGATATGTCTTCATAACTGTATCCTTAAGTTTTACATTCACTCAGTTATAATGTGGTACTTATACGTAGTATGTTTTACAGTTATTATTGATCACCTTATATAGTCGATATTTCTTAACTTAAGCTCCAGTAGTATATATGAATATGTTTGGTATGTTTTTTAGGTATATTTGTTATTGACCGAGTAAGCGCTTTTATTTTGAAGGCAGCTTTTCCAGGCCTCTACCGTAATGCATAGGATATTCGCGCACCGCAATACAACGGGCGGGCTGGCTGGCTTGAGAGTGTGTTTTCCGAAGTGGAGGCTGGCTTGACTGCAATTAAATATTGCAGAGAATGTTGTAAGTGATCAAGTAAATGCATTATATATACATGTAAATAGAACAAGAACAGAATGTAAAATTGAATATTGTTCTGTAAATTAAAATTAAATACTGTTTATTGTAGTGATAACTATTTTGATAAATACATTGTAAGATGCAAACAGATGAATGCTTGAGGTCATAGAGCTCAGGAGTTTAGCAGTCTTATGGCCTGTGGGGTAAGACTGTCTCTGAGTCTATATCTCTGAACAAAAGTCCAATGTTAACGTTGTGGTGTCAGAATCAAATTGGTTGATTCTAGATCCAGCAATAATGTACAAAGCATAACATATTTTGTTGCCTGACATTTTGGTTGAGGTTTTTTCACCCCAAACTGCATGTGAATGTTATCAAGTGGGCATGTCTGTAAGGGACCACGTGTGGGTATCCTTAGAACCTGATTGTATTCAGAGATCTTGAGGAGAGAGGTCAAGAGACCCCTGTAGATATGGCCAAGCCAGTTTTTCCCTTGTCAAATGTAGCCTACCTTTGGAGCCTATGCTTTCTTTACAGCCTCTGAAGGACTGAATGTTGTAGATAATAAGTGTGCATTTTGGTGCAACGTAAACAATTGAAACTGAAGCTGAAACTATCTTGGGTTTGTTTCTTTTACAGGTTTCCTAGACTGATCTCAGTGGGATGAAACTTCAGGAGCCTGAACAAGGATCAGCGAAGAAACCAAATTGAACACAAATAAAAACACCAGAAACTAACAATGGATAAAGTGACTATCGGTGAGGAGGTGACGAGACAGGAGCTGCTCCCAGAGCCTCTACTGATAATCCTGTCCCCACCTCCGCCTTTCTTACCCGGCGCTGGTAAACCGACCATGTTTTGGCACAAGTGGCTAAAAGCTTTTGAACACTACTTTCACGCTCTTGGTGAACACGAGCTTGCTGAATCCTCTAAGTGTGGGCTCCTAAGGAACTGCCTTGGCCTTGAAGGCCAGCATATCTTCACCGCTCTGATCCAGAGTGAAACTTCTTACACAGCAGTCATCTCCTCGCTGACGCTTTACTTCTGCTCCGATCACACCTCTCAGATGTGCCGCCTTAAATTCCATCAGAGGGCTCAGATGCCCGGGGAGGGTGTAGACGTGTTTGTGTCTGTGTTAGAAGAACTGCTGAGACCTTGCAATTATGGACAATTACAAGACAAACTTATCCTGGATCAGCTGATTGAGAAAACCAACTGCCCACCCCTCAAAGAGAGGCTGCTGTTGGAGAGGGAAACGTTGACCCTGGACAAAGCATTGGTCATTGGTAAAGAGGTTGAATCTGCTTTCAATGAAACTGACCTGTTTAGTATTCATGAGGTCAGTGTGGACATTGAAGACGATTTAGGCCCTCCTGTTCCAACAAAGCGTAAAAGAGGAAGACCTCGGCGTGGGGAGGGAAAGCTGAAAATCGAAACAAAACCACCCTCGACCAAAACTCATACAAGATCATCGAGACACAAAGATAGTTACTATTACAGCAATGATAAGCAATATTATAGTGAAAATGATGGAGGTGTAACTGAAAGTGCTCTTGAGACTAATCTAGCTTTGGATGAACCCAACGCTGAAGCAGCTAAAGAGGTGAATGCTCATGAGACTAATCTAGCTTTGGATGAACCCAACGATGAAGCAGCTAAAGTGGTGAAAAGAGCGTTATCATCATCATCCTTAGATTGGATGGAAGAGGAAGGCTGCAACTATGCTAGTGATGGTGTCGATGATGAAGATGTAGAGGAAGAGGTAGATGAAGAGGTAGATGAAGATGTAGATGAAGACTTTAAACCTAAAAAAAAAGGCCCCTACTGTCCCATTTGTGTCACAACGCGTTTCAGAGACATAAACAAGCTCAGCAGACACATGAGGACACACACGAAGGAGAAACCGTTCATCTGCCCGGTCTGCTCTACGACCTTCAGCCAATCCTACCACATGACCCGACACATGAGGAACCAGCACAATGCGGGACAACACGTCTGTTCCACATGTGGGGAAAGTTACAAGAGCCTTGCAGATCTGCAAAGTCACAAGAAGATGCATTTGTCATGTCCAAGCTGTCAGAAAGAATTCACTAACAATAAAGCGTTGTGTAGTCATGTCTTGTCACACAGCGAAGACCAGTCCACCCAGGTAGAGGGTCAAAGTCAACTTTATTGTCCATCTCAAGATGTGTCTGTACACACAGAGGGTCAGAGTCCTCTGCAAAGTGATGAAATAAAAAACCAAGAAATCAAATCAATAAACAGAGATACTAAGGAGAGTATTGATATCAATGATAATGTTGCTGAGAACAGTTCAGACTCTGATAATAGTGATTCTCAGGATGAAGAATGTGAAGATAATGTTAAGGATAAGGACACTGAAAAAGCTACATCTCAAGATGGAGGCAGTCCCAAAGAAGAAGGAGCCCCCAAGACCAAAAAAAAGGGCCATGTCTGTCCCATCTGTGTCGACAGGCGCTTCAAAGGGGCAAACAAACTCGCAAGACACATGAGGACACATACAAAGGAGAGACCATTCGGCTGCCCTGTCTGCGATATGAGCTTCAGTCAATCCTACCACATGACCCGACATCTGAGGAAGCAGCACGGCATGGGTCAGTACATCTGCGAGAAATGTGGGAAAAATTTAGCGAGCTGGCTGGAGATGAGAGCACACAAGAAGACTCATGCTGTTGACGGCCTGACATGTATTGCTTGTGATAAACAGTTTAAAGACAAGGCTGCCCTAGTGAGTCATCTTAAATTACACAAGAAGGTCCAGGCTAAACCCCAAAGCCTCACCTGCGGCGATTGCGGCAAAGTATTCGGTCGTATGTATCATCTGAAAAGGCACATAGTGACCCATCGCAAAGCAACAAACGGAGATATTTACACATGCCCTGATTGTCAGAAGGATTTTGCCTTCCCAGAAGACCTCAACAAACACCTGGAGATTCATTTAAAAGAAAACAATGGGACCTGTCCAAAATGTGACGAAACCTTCAGTAGTCCAGAAGACCTGGAGGCGCACATGGGGGTCCATGAGAAGTCTTACGCCTGCAGCACCTGTGGGAAGAAGTTCAAGGTTGAGTATGCGCTGAAGAAGCATGAGCAAGGACATAAAGACGAACAGTTTTATTGTTCGTTGTGCCGCAAACACTTCATCAAGCTGTCCCACTACAAGAGGCACATGACGGTCCACGACAGACGGGAATCTAGATGTCCTCACTGTGACAGCATCTTTCTGCAGCTAACAGCTTTTAAGTATCACCTGCGGACTCACACAGCGGAGAGGCCGTACCAGTGCACCTGTTGCATCGAGACCTTTGAGGAGAAGAAAGATCTGGATCAACACTGCTTGAGACACAGGAAATTCAAGAAGGAGATGCCAAACTCGTGCACTAGGTGTGATTGTGCTTTCTCTACACTCCTTGAGCTGACGGACCACATGAGCTCACATGATGGAGAGCAGCCAATGACCTGCCCCATCTGTGGCAAGACTTTCCTCAACAAGAGCAAGATGGAAAGGCACCTGAGCATCCACTCGGGGGAGAGGCCGCACCTCTGCTCCATCTGCGGCAACGGCTTCCCCTCGGCCGCCAGCCTCAAGTTACACCTCCACATCCACACCGGGGAGAAACCCTTCCCGTGTCCGCAGTGCAGCAAGAGCTTCAGGTCGTCCAGCGGGCTGCGGCTGCACGGCCGGCAGCACATGGAGGTGCGGCCCAGCTTCGAGTGTCTCGAGTGCGGCAGGACTTACGGTCGCATCACGGAGCTGAAAATGCACCAGCGCTACCACACAGGGGATAAGCCGTACACATGCACCTGCTGCAACAAACGCTTTATTAGCAAACACAAGCTGAACGTTCACATGAGGATACACACGGGCGAGAGGCCGTACGCCTGTCCTCACTGCGGACAGACATTCACACAGACTGGAGACAGAAACAGACACGTCAGTAAATACCACGAGTTAGATACTGCAGTACCTAACTCCAGTGAAGATTAGGTTGCTTTTGAATGATTGTGCCAGTGGTTTTGCATGTAGGGGGTGACCAGGTGCCAACAAGCCACATTGTTTTTGAGGGACAATGCGGGACATGTTACTGTGTTGCTTAGAGCTGGATTAGATGTTTATATAGTGATGAAATTAAATATGTGTTTTGAATGGAATTAACCTAACAAATTATTATGAGCAGAAAAAAAATGACCTGATCTAGCTTGCTAGCTTGTGTGTTAAACGTTAATTAAATCAGCTGCTGTTACCTCATCGCTTTCGGTTTCAGGAGGAATATATCCTTGGGTTGGTGGTAGAGCAGGCTCGCACGGGCGACTGTCAATCAAATGTGTGGGACAAATGATCAAAATGCTGGGCAGTCCCGCACAAAGCGGGACACCTGGTCACCCTATTTGCATGTTTGTTGGGGTTGGGAGCAATTACAATCAATGAATGCAAAACCACTGTCTTCTCTGTCCAGACTTTACTGTCTACAAACAGTTTCTCCCTGATTTGTTATTTTCTGCGAGCTTCATACCTGGACTCTCTTCTATATCACTACATTTTACCACTTAATACAACAGCTGTGCATGAGGATTTAGTCATTGTAGTCCATCCCCCTCACCCCTTCTCCATACAAGCACCTTGCACTCCCAACAACTCACACTAGTGACAGAATGCGAGTTTCACAGTTTGGCGTGCCCAAATCTGTTATTATGTTAGTATGCTACATACTAGTTTAAATTAAGTAGTATCAAGTATATCACTGAAATGATGCAACAAAAAATTCAAAGACCATTGTTCAATGCTTTTGTTGTCTTCCATTACACAGTTTGTGTTTCATAGTCTTATGTTGTTTCTTTTCACATCTTAGATTATTTTAGTTTCGACTTCTCGGTAACCAAGCGTTTGTAACTGTTAAGAAAAGTGCCATAAAAATAAAACTATTATTCACTCTGCTTGCACATGTAATGAGGCTTCTGATCAACATTCAGTGTTTCCCCTAGGTTTACTGCTTTGGGGGGGTGCTGCCTGAAGCGTGGCGGGGGGTTAGTTATTGGTATTTTTTTTTTTTTTTATCCTCTGGAGCAGAGAGAGGAGGTGTGGATTATTGTTAAACACCTTTAATTTCAGGGGGGGCGCCGGGCTCCGTTGGCTGGGCGCAGCGCCCCTCCAAGACAATGGTAGGGGAAACACTGACATTTGTAAAACATGTAAGCTGCATCATTTTAGACACATATTATCAGTCAAGTGAGAATAAAAAGATTTAAATATCATTTGAAAATAATTAACTCTATATGAACCCCAAAATTAAGTATTTTATGTAGGGTTCTTTCTGACCCTTGCAACGCTTCAATAGTTATGAATGCCTTAAATCAATCATTCAAAAGAGGATTTTATAAATAGTTTTGACTGAAAATGCATTGTTACATCTCAAAACAATTAGTAATGTCTATCTTTCCGTAACCCATAATGCCTCTTGCATAAACCTCAAGCACTTCTGGGTAGCAGAAATTAGCTCCTAAAAAAGGGCTTTAAATGATTTCCAAGTTGAATTAAAAAGTCCTTTACATTCTTAAACTTAAAGGTGGGGTAGGTAATTTTGGAGAAACCAGCTCGAGTGCGCTAGAATTTGAAAATACACAGCCGGAAAAAATCTGCCACTTCCTTACAGAGCCCCTCCAACACACACGAACGCGCACATGACCAATGAGGGCACGAGATAAGTTTGTTCACAGATGGAAGGCTGACAGGCAGGTAGGCCATCCAGTTATTTTAGCCGGGCCGGCTCCACAGATGACATTTTTTAATGGATTTTTTGTCAAAGCACTTAAGATATTCATTGCTATCGTGATGTTAAGAGCATTCCATGGAATATAATAAAAATGTATCTCGGGCCGGTTTTTCAAACTTACCTACCCCACCTTTAACTAAAGTCTGTAACTGACAGATGTCTCCGTGTTGAGTTTATTTAAACAACATTTTTATATAAATGTGTGTTTTTATGCTGAAGCTAAATGACATGCTAATGAATGCAATAAACTTACATTTTCATTAGTAGATCATTTCGGTACTTATTTAACAACTTCAAACAAGCTGACATATCTGATAAAAAATCGATAAAGAAGCTAACTGTCAGTAAAAATAGTTGAAAGCAGGCGTCCACATGAGGGTGCTGCTGGGACGTTAATGTATATCTCTATTACACAGATCACAAATACAGTAGCCTACCAAATAACGATTCTAATAGTTCATAAAACAAACATTTCATTAATCATTTTCTTACCATACTTGTCCAATACGGGGAGATATCCAACAATAAATCAGCGATATACATGCAACAAAACGAAACTTAAACAGTCCAAACTTATATTATTATAAGTAGCACCTGACATCCTAATTACAGTTGGTAAAAGTCATTATATTGTACTTTTTCTTCCCTACAATTCAGGCTTAGGTATTTTATTTAGCCAGAAAATAACATTGAGATTCAGGATTTCTGAATTTATGTTCTTGTAATTTACTAGATTATCCAATCTATGCAACCTCCTACTTTCTTCAATACATTTCGAGTATTAACCTGGTATTAACGTCTTACTGCAATGCATTCATTTGATAGGTATGACCACCTTCTTAAATGTAGCCTACATTACATGCTATACATACCGACACAAGGTGTTTTCAGTTTAGTGTCTGATGAAGGATTCAAGTTAGTGTTGTGAAATCCTCTGCTGGGTTTACATGAGGTTAACTTGTTCTCATAAGCATGGGCGTCATTTTGTTAAAAAAAAGTGGTCTGGACAATTTCTCCAGATTGAACATCAGCATAGTAGAAGAAAAAATATGTCCCTCCCCTGTTTGTTGAACCTCGAGCACCTGCATGAATAACCAATGCATAGACCATGTGTTTTTAAAACACTGAACGCACAACTATAGGTCTTGCTGTGATGTGATTGTAAATGTGTAGCTTTATGCACACAACGAGCGCACAGGTATGGAGGACAGAACATGACATAAGTAACAAATAAATAAATGCATATATCCACAAAAAATACATAATAATAAAAAATACTAATAATAAAATAATAATGATATAATAATACAATAAAATGTATAATATAATAATACAATTATAATTAAAATAAAATAATGATTAAATACTAATAATAATAATACAATTAAAATAATAATAATGTTATACTCCATTTATTGGAACTATAATGGTATATACTTTAACTAAAGGATGTTATAAAATGCAGGACTTGTACTTGTAACCATAGACTGTATAGGCTTGTAACAGAGTATTTGTAATGATGGTACTGTTGCTTTTACTTTATCCATCACTGGTGTTCAACTTCCAACAGAAAAGAGTAACATCCGGCCCGACAGGGGGCAGCACTTACCGTTAGTCCTGAAGCTAGTGCTAATCTTCTGTTTACAAACAGGGGCACAAGAAGGTAGCTTCGTATTGTAAAATAAATAAATCACTTCTGTGGTTTACGTCGTCATGTGGATAATGTTTTTAAAGCAAGGTAACGTTGGGTTGTGATACCGAATAATGTACCTTATCTCGTCTTGAGTTGTAAAGAGTTGGTCTAAATTCTAAAATATACTGCTGAAGCTAAGCTAACTTTGCTAATGTTACAAACGGCTGGTTATCAACCCCTTCATTTTCAGAGAGATACATTGACGCACTGTAAATTATGTTAAATAACATGTGTGAGGTAGATTTCAGGATTAACCCAACAGATAACCACTTGCCCTGTAAATCAAAAATAATGAACATAGCTACGTTAGCTTGCTAGCTTACTAGCTACATTGCTTACTGTCGTAGACTGTCTAGACTCGGTGTGAAGCAGTGTAAGATAATCATAATTAACTTCAGTATGTTGCTGGAGCATTGCAACATTCCTCGTTCAAAAATAGCAGTCTATTGATCAGATTAACTTTCAGTAAAACAACTTCAACAACTGGTTAAACTATAAACCTGAATCTAGAGTCTCTCCTAATGGCTGCTTTAGGCTTTAATCTTGCCAGCGGGCAAGATCTTTTCAGCATTGACACAACAGAACAATCCAGCTCTATAACAAACTGTGCCCTTAGTGGGGAAGAGGTCAGGCAGTTCTACGAAAATGTAATGAAAGATAGTCAAGGGCAAGAGAAATCAAGGAGGAGAGCAACTAGCAAGGGTGATAATGGCAGAGAGCCCAATAGAAGAGAGAGGAGGAGAACCAGGGCAGCAGAGATGCGGCAGGCTCAAACAGACTCTGTGGTTCATAGAGGGAATAGTAGTGAACGTGAAGGCAACACAAGAAGAGATGTCATCTCAGAAAGGACCATGGAGCTCCTGGGGCTCAGGTTTCTGCGCTGTGCCAATGATGGTGACATCTCTGGCCTCAAAGACCTGCTCTCAAAGGGTGTTGACATCAACTTCCAGGTACAGTACTGACTTTACTGCTTAGTGTGCTTTCACTTTCTGACCCTGTATTGGTTTTAAGTCCTGATGGTTTTTCCTTCAGGATACTTACTTTTGGACGGCAATGATGTGTGCAAGCTGGTCAGGACAAAGAGCAGCGGTGAGGCTGCTGCTGCAGAACGGAGCAGCCTGGGTCGGTGTGGTTGACACTCAGGGCAGGGATGCCAAAGATCTGGCGCTGGAAGGTATAACCATGCATCTATTAACATCTCTAAAGTGTGTTTTGTACAATGAAGCTGAACTCATTCATATCTGTTTTTCCCCAGCGGGCCACAATGAGTTATTGGAGGAGTTGGAGAGCTATGGGACAAGTGCAGAGAGAGACCCTCAATCTGATAGCAGGTTAGCACACACTGAGCGTTGTGGCTCTTCTAGAGCTGTGACCCCACATGAACCAACATAGCTTCTGTGTGAGCCCGACCCGAGCCTGAACCAGGGCCGTTATGGGCCTATGCTACAATTAATAAACTTGAATTACCTTAATTTTACATTGTTCATGACATTACACATACTATGTTTTGCATTTAAAGGGGACCTATCATGCAAAATGCACTTTTGTACGTCTTTTATACATGAATATGTGTCCCCGATGTGTCGGGGAACTCACCAAGTGTCAGAAAACACAAGCTACTACTTGTTGTTGTTGTTGTTGTAATGGGCAAGCTAGGATTCACCAAAGTCACACAAAAAAAACTAACCAATCCAGGAAGCGGTAAAAACAGTGTTTGTCAATGGAGTCTGGTGGCTTTCAAGAGAGTCTAGGTACCAGGCTTCAGTTCCAGATTTGAGATTATTCTAAATATAGAGTCTATTTAAACTGATGTACATTTTTTTAAGGTGGCTAAATAATAGTTTTGTGGCTGCACCTATCCTCAGAAGTGTATTGCTTTGCTTCTTGCTGGTACTCCTTCCTTTTCTTTCCACATACATTTCTGTACTTCAAAAAAATCCCAACTATCTCTTAAATGCACATATAGACCTGGCTTTTTTTTTAAGACATACATCAAAGTAGTGAATCTGTTTCTTTAATACATTTCCTCTCATTGTCTTCTTCTCTGTTCACCCCCAGTGCCTCCCAGCCTCAGTGGTGCGGTGTGTGTTGTAGCGAGTACAGCAGCAGCCTGTCGTCACATCTCTCCTCCACTCTTCATCTGTTCAGTCTGCGGCGTGCCCCCCCCACACCCTACTACTGCCTCCCCCCCTCCAGCAACAGCTACAAGATGATGGTTCGCTGCGGCTGGGAACCGGGGACAGGGCTGGGGCCGGAGGGCGAGGGGCCCAAACAACCAGTGCCAACGGTGCTGAAAAGAGACCAGGAAGGCCTGGGATATGGACACATGAAAAGAGCCAAAGTGACTCACTTCCAACCCAGGGACTCTGCCGCAGTGAAACGACCATCACAGGAGAAACAGGAAGGCAGAGGCAAAGGAGAGAGGAAGGAAGATAGTAGGAGAAAAGAACAAAGAGACAAGACCTGGGAAAGAGATTTCCGTGCCTCTTTTTATCTTTGACATCTGCTCAAAGTGACTTTTCAAAACGTTTTCTCTTCCAGACGCTTCTAAAAGTATCTCTAAAACATTAAACAGATCTTTTATGAAGAGGTGTGTTATTAGCTGTGAACAGCAGCTCTTTAGGAGGCTGGGAATTTGACATGGAAGTCTGAGTCTGAAGTCTGTGAGTGAACGCACGAAGAGAAGATGCAGTGGCACGTTGTCACAGAGTGCAGGTGTGTGTAAAGGTGCTTGGAGGTGTTTTTCCACTTTGACTCTACCTCAGACCTGTTTCCATATATGGTCAGTCTTGCTGCTGTTGTGCAACGACCAAATATGGCATTGATTTATCTTCATGATTTTGATTTACTCCGTGTGACCTAATGTGGGGTTTACTTACTGTAAACCATTAAGACTGTTTCATACGTTTTTCATTTATTTAAATTAATATACATCCACTCGTTACGGTTCATTAACCAGGAAAATAAATGTCTTTAATATAAAAGAGCTGTTTTCTTTTGCTTTCCTTTACTGCCATTGCCAAGCAATTAATATTACAGGACAACGTTACTTTGAGATTTGGCTCCACTTGACCAACATGCACATATAGATGAATTAACACCTAACTTGAGTAGAACATACATAAACCTACATGACATTACAAACAAAAATATAACTAACCTGTAGCAAAACATGTCCATCTCCATTTACAAATAATCAGTTGAAGTTGTAGGTGGGCAGTCGACTTTAATCATGTCAAATGTTCTTAGAATAACCCTCATCCAATTAGAAGTAATTCATGTTTCCTTTCATGTAGAGTTTCAAGTAAAGTTTCTATCAGTTGTTTTTTGTACATACAGCAGTTAGGATATTTATCTAGTTATCTGTCTGAGCAGCAGAAGTCATGGTGTTAAAGGGTGTCCTTCAGATGGCCATGATTCTTGTATGTTATGCAACTAAACAAACCAACAGTGCACTCTCCCTTAGTTCATGAGCTCATGGTACCTTCTCACCCAATTGAACACACCTGCAGCCTTGACCATGTGACTGGCGGTTCACATGCTTGTGTTTATCTGCAGTTTCAACATAGTAACACTGTCTGGGTATTTAATTTAAAGTTGCACTCCTGTCTGATTTTATGTGTTAAGGTTTAACGTATTTTGAAGTCTCTATTTAAATTGGCACAACTCAAGCCAAAGGGGGTCATCAGAGCTGCAAAACTCTCCCCCAACCCCGACAATACAATATTAGACAAACCATATAATGTGTAATAAAACACGTCAATTATATTTTAGCCCAATATCACAAATTACAATCTCTATCTGGATAGTTGACAAAGACATTGGTTCTTGAAAAACTTGCTTCGGATAAGGAAAACCCACTAACAAAAGCCCACTGAGTCATCAGAAAGGTGAGGCGATGACTTTGTGGTAGTCATTCAACTTACTTGAGAGTATTTACGGGATATTGCGATATATTGCATCATGTGTTTCTGTATTTTTAGGAATTTTCTTTGTTGTTCGGATACTTTATGCATTTCAAAGACTTGGAGTAATGTGGCCTCCCCCCAAATTTCATGCACATTAAATCAAAATTGCTTGTGTGACAGTAGAGATGAGTATACGTTCGGATCCACTGGTGATTAAACAAAATGTAACATATCAAGATTCACAAATCTTACATCAGCCGCTAAATCTATCTAGAGATGTGACCAAAACACAAGAAAGCCCCCAAAGCTACCACCAGTTAGTTTTTATTGATTAAGCTGCATGTAGCTTTGATAAAAGCATTTTAACAATAAGATAGCGTAAGAAAATAAATCCATGTTAATGTGTCATTTTGCCTCCTTGACATTAGACATTTTCAGACATTTTGTTTTATGAGTTTACTTTTTAGTTTCATTGTCAAATCTGGTTGAGTTTGATTTGTAATCATGACACTAAATGTTATTAATTAGTGCTTCGACTATACATATTTTTCCTGTCAAACATTTCCATCACTTATGAACGTCTTCCATTATTAAAGTCAGGGTCTATCACAATGTCACATCAGATTACAAACTTTTATAAACTTTAAGCAGCATTTTTTATTACTAAATGATACATTTAGAGGATAGTTCAGCTCTCCTAGTTGTCTGCTTTTCCTGAGGCGATTTAACGTGTCACCAGCTTGAGCTTGATCGGTTTCAGAGGTCCAACCAGACCATCTGGGTTCATTATCAAAGGGATCTGTGAAAGACAAATACAACATTTGAAACACGTGCTCTCTCTGCCAGCAAATCCAACTTGTCAAGTGTATTGAGCAATCATGTAGTAAGCATTTCAAAAGTAACCACCTCCGTCTCCTCGCAGACGGAGAAGCTGTAGTTCTGCAGAACTTCCACCATGGCCAGTTTAATCAAAACCAGAGCAAAACGCATCCCTATGCAGTTCCTCGGCCCGAGCCCAAATGGCAGGTAGGTGTACGGGTTGATGCTCTGCTTGTTCTGTTTACTGAATCTTGAATAAAAAGCAACAAAGAAAAGAACATTTAACTTTTACACACATACAAACATAAAAGGGAATCTTCTTATATACTATGTTTCACAGGATTGTACAAATGAAGTTTCTCAAGATTCACGTTCAATTTTTTTATTTTACACAAAGTAATTTAATTAAATCTACACATTTACAACATCAACACACATTTACAGTACACACATCTACACACATTTACAGTACACATTTCACCTTATACATACATTTATAGTACACACACAGGAGCACTGTGGCATCTACCTGTCGGGTCGGAACTCCTCGGGCTCGGGCCACAGCTCGGGGTCGTGGTGCAGAGCGTAGACTGGGACCATCACGAGCATGTCCTTAGGGATTGTGATGCCACTGACCTTTACAGTTTCTTTGGCAATCCGTTCAAGACGTCCAGCTGGAGGGTAGAGCCTATTGTCAAAAGATTACTGACATTATATATATTATAATATTTTGAAAATCTACAGACGTACCCAAATGTCTATTCTTGAAATACAGCATAATGTTGTTTCAATGGCAAGGTAGCAACTCAAAAGAACAAGATGGTTCTGACTTTCTTTTATAATTATCATATGGATTTGTGTTATGTTAGTTATTTGGTGCATGATCAAATGCCTGCAAATCTAATGACATTCCCGACAACCTCAGCTATTCTTCATTTTTAGTGCTCATTATCAAATATTAGCATGTCAGCAAGCTATAATAATGGTAGTAACATTGCTAAACATTAGCATGTTAACTTAATTCTTATGCTTAGCATGTTGTGAACAGCTAGTATAAGAAAAAGCTCTTTACCTCAGACACTCATTGACGACACTGTCTAGGTACTCCATCTGCATCAGCTCTTCATATTGGACAGAACCCTGCAGAGATACAAATCATGCTTACACTAAACACAATTCGGGATTTTCAAAACTTTAATTTAATCAATTACATGAAGTGCAGAGAATGACTCTTGTACCAGAAACCTCTGCTTTACCTTTTTAGGGAAAGTGGAATCTATCTCTTCTTGCAGGCGTTTCATGACTTCAGGATTTCTTGCCAAACTGTAGGCCAAGGCAACGAGAGTGAGGGCGCTCGTCTCGTAACCAGCAAACATAAACATTGTGGCTTGAGAAACAATCTCGTGATCAGTGAGACCTGTCAGGGCGGACGAGATGTATGAAGAGGGATGAAGAGGAAAAGAGGCCTCAAAACCTTTTGTGTGCATACAGGTGTGTGAATACAGGTGAGTGAATGTAATACCTTTATTCTGCTTTTCTTTCTTGGCTTCACTGGCAGACTGAGAGTTGATCATATGTTGAAGGAAATCTGCATTCTGAAAACAGGAATGATACATGCTCTCCAACATGTGTTTGATAGTATGTTGTATGACAGCACAGTGGACCATGACAATCCACCATCCACAGATTGGGTTTCTATGGTAAACATGTGTTGTTGTTGGAATATCCTGAGTCAAAGATGTGTGTGTACTGAATATGTGGTGTATTGCTGTCATTTTTCATCAACTCCCTTGATTGAGGAATCCAATGTTTATGCAAAATGTTGGTGGTCAGCTCAATTGAGCGCGATCAGATGTTTATTGTAATACGATGAAATGAAAAACAGAAAAACAAAATGGAGTTTTTTATCGTTTTGTCCAAACCTGGTGTGAGCTCCTGTCTCGTTCTTCTCTGACCTTCCCCAGAAGAGTATTAAAGAATTGAGTAGAAGACTTTGTAAACAAGGAGACCCCAAGCCGCTCCATGAGAGGAAGAAAAACAGGGAAAAACCCTGAGAAGAGAAAGAGGGTTAGTTATTATGATCTTAGTCACGAACATATCTGTTAACATCAACATAAAGAATTAAAAGGTGCATGTCATTGAAAAGCAGTGGATACCTTGGAAGATGAAAAGAAGTGGGTTGAATTTAAAGAGCTTCGAGGCGTGTTTGATGAGGGGATGTGAGGGGTTGTTTATTGAGTCCACATCCACACTGAATGCACAGCTGGCCATCACATCCATACTGTAGCCTCCAAAGAAGCTGGACACACAAATCATGATATCATTGATTATTGGTTGAAACCAGTTGCCACATAGAAAATAATGTACTTGATAATAATTAAGCTCCTGTCAGCTGTTAACTTAGCTTAGCACAAAGACTGGAAAAAGAGGGACACAACACCTAAGCTCAACAATATACACACTTTGGTTATCATGTGACCATCTTGTCACATTTAACCATGCATAGCACCGCATTACTCACTCTTTTACTGCTATGACTTCATTATTGCACGCCTTGGACTGCAGGCTGGTTGTGAGTTTGCTGGAATGATGTTTCATGAGGCTAAACATCTGAGAGCAAGGAAAAAGTGTAAAAATGAGAGTGAAGTTAGTGTACTGTGGAGATGAATTGTTACTATAGAGTCGTCCTCCATCTTTAATCATTCAAAATATGACTTTTACAACTTGTGAAGATCCAAAAATCGTACTTCTTTTATACGGCCAGAGGTGAAAGAGGGAGTGAGGATGTGACGAATCCGTCTCCATTCGTCGTCCTCAACAATAGAGATAGCGTCATAAAGGTCCCCATTCAGACGAAAGTTCTGAAGTTTGTTAGAAACACACCACAACAATCTTTTTTATTTTCTACCCAGAGATATATCTATAATTTTTTTGTAAAAGCAAGAAATGTGTTCCCCAATAAAGAGTTGCTCAAGGAGATGGACTCGTTTGATTTACCCTCAGTTATCTTGTTCATATCAGAGATATACTTTGAACTATGCACTGTAGTCGAACAACACAATTAAAGCCAATAGAATTGCTTTTTTTTGTTAAGTGGTAAGTTGACATTCCCCCCCCCCCTGCCAATCCTCATTTCCTCACCGATTTCAAAATTACATTATAACAACTTCAATTTGAAGACAGCTTTAGTCTGCTAAAATTGATGATCAACGGATATTGTGTCACTCTCCAGTGTCTTATTTACAGCAATCCTTTATATTTTCTATATAGTTTTATGTATATCCTCACCCTGCGGTTGGTAAAGTAGGTGAAGCACTCCTTCACGATGATGGCTTTCACCATGTCGGGGTCCATCACTGCCAGCACGGGCTTCCTCAACTCGTATGATCTAGACATTTAAACAAACACATTTAAATGTTGTGCATTCATTGTTAAACTCTTGTTGCTATAGCAGGAGAATATCTGCTGCCATTAGTAAGACTACAGCTGATACAAGCAACCACGGGTGAAGTTCAAGAGTCAAAACCAGTCAAACGTTGTCACATAATAATACGTAATTATGAGTAGCTTGGTGTTAGGCTTAGTTAAGTTTGATACACTTCTGCTTTACTGGCTCTTTCTTAACTTACATTTCTACAGGAAATCTATTTTGTGTTTTGGGCAGGTAATAATAACTTGTATTGCTATATGTTGTGTCTCTGTTAGTGTTAGATAGTAGTTCCCTATGAGGAGCTTATCACACAATCTCAACCTTTGTTTTATGTTATTAGGATGCAGGACAAACCCACAGCCCTGTAATTCAGTTTTATGGTCGAGAGTTACCACATTTGACAAGCTAATGAAACTCAGGTTCCTTTTTCATGGCTCTGCCCACACATTTGACAACAAATCCTTTCCTGGATTACTGAGACTTTAAATCTACTTTGCTGACGTAACGTTAATTTTGGGCCCTATCAATGAATCTTGTCATATTATCATATTGAATTCTTAAGCAACTTCACACCCCAACCGACATCCTTTTTTAATATGTATTTATCATTTATGTTTTTTGTTTGTTTTTTATTTTTCCTTTTTGAACCCATCAACAATGTTATTTGCATTTGACTTTAAAACTGAAAAGCAATTAAATAAAAAATAAATTATGGACTCACCCCCATATTTTTCCATACTTATTAGCACACTCGATGTCATCCTCGTAGTAAACCTGGTAACAGAGAATGTACTGTATATTCATCCCTAATCACAAAAAATATCATTGTCCGTTGAAAGACAAAATCAAGCGAATTTTATTTAGATAATAAAACTGTATTAAATATTTACATACAGAGTGGTACCGGCCAACTGTTCCCCAGTACGTGTACGGCTTTGGACCTGGGATTCCCAATTTCTCAAATATACCATGAGTCCACTTGCCATACCTGTACAGAACAGAAACACAATAAAATACAATCAAAATTAAAGTATTTAAGGTCACATTGTGTCAGTCAAAGACTTTAATCTTAACTTTGGTGATTTCCTGTGTTTCTAAAGGTGATTTATGTCACCGGTAGTACGAATAATCTTCCTTAGTTCAAATAAACCTCTGATCCTTACACAAAAAACAAGCAGAAGCATGTGATCAATAGAATCCATGTTTCTAAAGAGAAGAAAGGAAGACAGCCCATGGCTCTCGCTTGCTCTGCCAAGTTGAACTGAACTCTGACTGACTGCATGTTCGAAGGCGTGGGTTCTCTTCACCGTGTTGCATAAGATGTTTTGCTGTTTCCTCTCATGTGCAGCGACAGTGCCCAAGTGTCACCCACACATAGGGACGCGGGACGTCAGTCAGAGTTGGGGGTGCGGTGGGAGGATGGGGGGGGGAAGAGTTTTGTTTAAATATTGAAGTTAAAAGCATCAATCTGGTGCACTTTGAAAGCAAAATTAAGCGATCTATGGATACACAACACCCATATGAAACTGAACTGTAAGCAGATTTTCTTTTTCTTATATTTTACAAATCACTCCCCTTTTAAACTGTATTCTTGTTTTACTATCATATAGTATTTCATAACTGTTTTTCATTTATTCTCTCTGGCTGTCCATCTCATAATGTTCACATAGGAATATCATTCAGAAGAATTATAATTCGCCCAGGCCAGGCGATGCCACTGGGCGGTCCTGTATAATAACGTCATATTAAATGCAATAATTTGGTCTTTAGCAACTGCTTGTGAGAGCAGTGCATTCATCGGTGTTCGTTTTAATGCTGCCAGTTTGTGGACGGCCTGTGTGTTGATGGGACTTCTCATGCTCCCTAAATGTTTCCCCTGCCTTTCGCCAGTTGTTAAACCCTGCTTTCACAAAACTCCCATCCCTGATCTTGTCTGCACTGACAAGCTTCTTTTCTATAGCAGAGCAACAGAAGAAGCACACCGCATTATCGCTTTTTCTTATTTTCTTCCTGCGTCCCTGCCCACACACCTGAGTATATGCCTGGACTTGTCTTTGTGTTATCAGATTGCACATTTATATTTATAATTAAAGTAATTTGACTGTCACAAACATATCACAGTACGTTTCTTTAGTACATCAAGGAAATAATGTCTTTAATGGCTTGGTTGTATTGCTTCTGTAACACAAGCAATACAATTATTAGAGCCCTAAAATAGCTGCGTCACAGACGACAGATATACTAATGCCTGTTATTTAATAATGGTGTTTAGTTTCTTTCTGTTAATGATTCACATAACAGTGCTTGTCTGTCATTGGTTCAGCTCTCACACACTTGGTCACGCAACCTGAATAACCTGAATGTGCAGCACGAGATAAAAGCCTTTGGTCCGTGATTTTGGACTTTAGTGGAGCTTGTGCTGCCATTGACTAAAAAGAAAAAACACGCAGAGATGGGCTTTTATTTTTCAACTGAGACATGGACCCTCCTGGTGGCTTTCATCACACTGACCATTGTGTGAGTGTTTGAAAAATATTTGTCCGAAGTATGTATGCCGTGTGTTTGTTTGTATGATGACTCTTCTGTTATTTTGTTTTCCAGGTATGTCTGCTGGCCATTTGCTACATTTAAGAAAATGGGCGTCCCTGGTCCAACACCAATCCCTTTTTTTGGGACCATGTTGGAATATAAAAAGGTTGGTCAACATAACTTTTCAAAATCAATACTCAATCGATTCATACCAGAGTGTACAGGCTAAGCAGGATACACAGTAGTGTGGTAGAGCACCTTACAAATATCATTCAAAGTAATTATGTGTAAAAGTGACTTACATTTATGTGTAAAAGTGTATGCATGATACTGAGTGAAACTGGTATGTTATGCCTTGATGATATCTACACTTTGCATACTGATAAAGTCATTTAAAACTTCCACAAGGTTAGCATGTGTGTGTAATGGGTGCAGCATGGTTGTGGAGTTTAAATCACTGATTACACCATGCATATTGTGTCATTCAGTTTTTAATGGTTTCACCATTTTCTCATAGGTTAAACGACAAATTCAATTGTTATAAACGTATCAGTGTTCAATTTCTAAGATGAAAATAAAGTATTTTAATTGTGTTATTAAAATCTGATAATGAAAGTTTTCCTTTTCCCATTTATTTTACATTCGGTAATCCATCAGTGTTTAAACATATTTTATTTTGTGGGAAGTCTGAAGTGAAGTTGTTGAAACGGATGATTTAATGATTGATCATTTTAACATGCACCGTGTTGCAACTCTTGTTTTTGTTGACATATTCTTCAGAATGAACACTACTTATGTTAATGATTTCCATATTTAAACATTTGTTTTCATGCTACAGATATCTCCAACGCATTGAAGTGGACAGAAGAAAGGTGTATGATTCATAATCTTTTTTTTGTCAGGGATTCACTGTCTTTGATGAGAATTGCTTCAAGAAATATGGAAAAACATGGGGGTAAGTCTGCCTGATGTACAGTGCGTGTATTGTGTATTATGTATTGTGTGATAATTAAGTTCTTGGTGTCATGTTAAAATCTTGAATGTAATGTAATTGTACCCCCACTCATCCTGGAGAAAAGGCAGAAGTAATGAATCATTTCAGGTTTTTCATTCCTGCATTATCTGATTGTTGTCCTTTGTCTATATAAAATATGCTTTTTCTGTTTCTTGTATTATTGTATATCTGTTTTACAAAGAAGCTTTGTCTCTGACTGTATCAAAATCTCAGTTTTTTGTATCTATTCATATTCTGTTCACTTCTTGTCATATTTAGCATATTTGATGGCCGTCAGCCCGTGCTGTGCATCACTGATCCGGCCATGATCAAAACTGTTCTGATAAAGGAGTGTTACTCTCTCTTCACCAATCGCAGAGTAAGCTAATCTAAAACACATTTGATAAGTCATTGCGTTACTTGAACTCTTCTTATCTGTGGCATGTTTCGTATAACTCTGTTGCAGAACTTCCGTCTGAACGGGGAGCTTTACGATGCTGTGTCAATCGCTGAGGACGATCAGTGGAGGAGGATCCGCAGCGTTCTCTCTCCCTCCTTCACCTCAGGGAGACTGAAGGAGGTACAGCCCCCTCTCCCTTTATTACATGTTAAACTTACCTAATCATTAGCTCAACCAAAAAGTGTTGTTGCTCCTTGGATTGCTCTGGGATTTCTTAAAGGCAAGGCAAGTTTATTTATATAGCACTTTTCAACACAAGGCAATTCAAAGTGCTTTACAAAAAATGAAAGACATTAAGAAAATGGCATTTAAAAACAGTAATTAAAAAGAAAAGTTAATAAAGGCCTAAAGAGGAGAAAGTACTCTGCATTTGACAAAACAAAGAACAAATATAAGAGAAACATAAGAAAATCAAGCATGGTTATGTGTAACTGAAAAGTTCATTTTCCCTTTATCACCTTGTGGCCAGTCAGATTTGTTCTGCAACTGCTTTTTAAACCAAAACAGCAGAAACTCTTTGTGTATTGTGATGTGTGTTCTACTTTTCAGTTTTTAAGTAAGCACGTTCAATATTTCCCTGTCTGTACTGCAGATGTTTAGCATAATGAAGCACCACTCGGCTAACCTGCTCAGCAGCATGAAGAAGAAGGCAGACAAGGATGAGCCCTTAGAGATGAAGGAGTAAGGACACTAAATACAACAAATTCAATACATACTGTATTCGTTTATTGCAATACATGTCTGTTTAGGCCTGAAAGGATAAGGTAATCTCTAATGTGTTCGTTTGCTCCTTAGGTTCTTTGGACCCTACAGTATGGATGTAGTGACCAGCACAGCCTTCAGTGTCGACATTGACTCACTCAACAACCCCTCAGACCCTTTTGTCACAAACATCAAGAAGATGCTGAAGTTTGATTTTTTTAACCCTGTCTTCCTCACTGTTGGTAAATAATAAATGTTGCTTCTATTAAATGCAGCCATTCATAATTGTGTCCTTCACCTGTCCAATATTTACAGTAAATACAACCAGTGTCCTTCCTTTGTTCTTGAACAGCTTTTTTTCCCTTCATGGGTCCTATTTTTGAGAAGTTGAATTTTTCATTTTTCCCTACTTCGGTCACTGATTTCTTTTACGCTGCACTGCAGAAGATCAAGACTGGTCGAGAGCAAAGCAAGCAAAAGGTATGCCTGTCTGTGCATGTGCGTATATACATATATGTGTATATAGTGTTATCAAAAATATAATCAAAGCTATTATTATGTCTTCTTTTAGAGTCGAGTGGATTTCCTTCAGCTGATGATTGACTCCCAGAAAACCCACGATTCCAGTGAAGTGGAAGAGGACAAAGGTGACACACACAGCCACATACAGTATACACGTTAAAGCACGACTTAAAACAAATCTTAATAATATCTCTTTGCTATCTCCCCAGGTTTAAGCGATCATGAGATCCTCTCTCAAGCGATGATTTTCCTGTTTGCTGGCTATGAAACAAGCAGCAGCTCTCTCAGTTTCTTGGCTTATAATCTGGCGATAAACCCTCATATCATGAAACGGCTGCAAGAGGAGGTGGACTCCACTTTCCCTAACAAGGTGTGGTATAAGTGGGTGGAGGGAGGATAATATTGGAAGTATAGCACGTGGGTCTCAATATAATTAATGTAAAGCTGTTTCATTGGTTTTTGGCAGCTAGATAAGATAACATTTCCACCAACTCTTAAGGATCTATAAGCATACTTAGCTAAACGTGTCTGTAGGCTATGCTATAACCAAAAAGAGGACAAGCCCAGTAAAGCTGCTGAGTTAAGTGATCATTCTCCAGGTGTGTTATTACAGCATATGATTAGAAACTGGATACAGCTTGCCACTGTAAAATAGCAACTTGTTATTTTGGATCAAATCAAACAAGGTCGAAAGTATTAGTAACCATCAGGAGAGATTCTAGGCAGATTTTGAACCTTTTGTCAGGTAAGCGGTTTCCCACTTGTCTCCTCCTTTTGGTTTCGCTAAGCTGACCAGCTGCAGTCTGTACTTGTCTATAGGAAAATAAATGAACAGAACAGATCTATCTTGAACTTTTTTCCTTCTCATTTGACTAATACAAAATAAAATGGCAATGGTTGTTATGGGGAAGTCACTTTTCTGTAACCAGAGCATCATTAAAGTGTTATTAGCCAGCTAGCTCGCTAAACCTATAGGTGGTTATGGATATGGTTCCCATTCCTTATAAAGGAGAACAGTGTTATTTAGCCTCAGTTATTAACCGTTATTGTTTCCCTCTAGTGTTCTTGTGGTCCAAAATGTCCTTGATATAATTGAGTCGTGGTCTTTTTATGTATATGTGTGTCTTTGTGCTTGTAGGGTCCTGTTGAGTACCAGGCTCTGATGGAGATGGCGTATCTAGATGGCGTCATCAACGAGTCTCTCCGATTGTACCCAATTGCCCCACGTCTGGAGCGTGTGGCCAAGGCGACTGTGGAGATAAATGGCCTTGTGATTCCCAAAAATATGGTAGTGAATGTACCCACATGGACCCTTCACAGGGACCCTGATCTGTGGCCCGAGCCAGAGGAGTTCAAACCTGAGAGGTTAATATACTGTATATATCTATATGTTAAGGTTAACCAAAACAACCACAAAAAGAACCTGTGTGTGTGTGTGTGTGTGTGTGTGTGTGTGTGTGTGTGTGTGTGTGTGTGTGTGTGTGTGTGTGTGTGCGTTCGTGTGTACATGTTTACGTTCGTGTGTGTGTGTACATGTTTACGTTTGTGTGCTTGTGTGTCCCCAGGTTCAGCAAGGAAAACAAGGGGAATATTGATCCGTACACATACATGCCTTTCGGGGCAGGACCCAGGAACTGCATCGGGATGCGATTTGCTCTGGTGATGATGAAACTAGCATTGGTGGAGATCCTGCAGAGGTACAGCTTCTCTGTGTGTAAGGAGACTGAGGTGAGACCACATATTTGTTATCTTAACACTGCTTGTAATTGATTATGCTGAATACGTACTCTTTTTCATGGTGCAGTTTGATCCAGTACCATATCCTTACGATCAAGATACTGCTAGTTTGATTTGGGAAAACAAGAGTGATATGACACCTAGGATAGCTAGCCAATCATGATTTTTGTGCATGTAGGTCTGTCCAAAGATCAAAAGCCATTAACATGACACTCTGTACAAAGGTACAGGTGACATTGTTCATCACTGGGCCGGAGAATCACTGCTGTTTTTGCTGAAATGTTCAAATAACGCACTCAATAATTCTGTAATGCTGCCGGATGTTTGTTTAGTTGTGCATTGTTGACTTTGTTCACACTTGTCTTTGCGCATCATTTCCTCCCAGATACCCTTGGAGATGGACGTCCAGGGTCTGCTGATGCCAAAACGTCCAATTCAGCTGAAGCTGGAGGCACGTTCTTAATCCTTAAACTGAAAAAAACAAGAATATAAAGGTTAATCATTTGAGCTTTTATGCATACAGACCTATTGTAAATAATTACAAAAATGTTACCAAGGTAAAAGTACAGTTGTGTGTGCAATTGTATCAGTTACTTCTGTTTTTCCTGTCAAAGCTTTAATGTCAAAATACATTGTGTCACAAATGGATAATTTGTAAAGCCTGTGTTAAAGATAAAATAAATGGATTTTTTCTCATATGCACTCTCATTTTTAAATGTGATTATTTACACTGTCAGAGCAGCATGCAACGTACAGGGGCTAAAGATGTGTCTGAACAACAGAAGCAGGACAGTAACATGTTGATACTTAAAATAAATATGTTTTATATGAGGGTCATTGTTTTATATGAGGGTCATTTTTCCAGTAGGTAAGACAACTTACGATAGACTTTGATCCCAAACAACAGCACATCTAAATGTTAGCTAAATCACAGCTAAATCAACACTTCTCTGATAACAAAACAGAGGTGATTACTGAAATGTATTGCAGGCTGATTGCACAGGTTTCATTACATTTCGCAGGTGTTCATGTTTTTGTTTTCACCCTGTGTAAAACATGGGACTAAAATACAAAAGTAAATAGAGTTTGTTCAGATATCAGCCAGGAAGTGAGTTCATGTTTTATCAGATATTTCAGTAATAAAAAGCATAAAGTGGACCACTGTGATAATGTTGTCATAACCAGTAGTTGAAAGTTACTAACTGGATTTACTCAAACACTGTAGTTAAGTACAATTTTGGCTACATTTCCTGATACAAATACTTCTTTTACTCCACAACATTTATTTCATAATTTAAGTTTCTGAAGAACAGATTCAGATTAACTATCCAAAATAAATTAACAAACGTTTCGTCATGTATTATTATAGATTATGATAAACTTAATCGGTTCCTTGGTAAAATGTCAAGCAAAAACAATAAAAAGAAATGCCTGGAATAAAAACAACAGCGCACTCGTGTGGATGCTATTTTATATTGTGTTCATTTATTGACCATGTGCTCCCGCTATTACAGATCCATTATCCACGTTTTTCAACCATCTTGTTCTTTCCATGTTTATAAACAGAGGGTAGAGATAAAAAAAGGAAAGAAAAAAAATTCAGAGCCGAGCAACCCAGCTCCAGTGCAGACACCACATGTTCCTGGGCTGGGATTAGGGGGGCGCTTATCTGCTGAAAACAGCTGAAATCTGTGTTGATATTAAACCAAACTTGTCAATTAATGCTGCATTTGAAGAGCCCAAATTGCAGGAATAAAATATAATGAACTGTCATCCCATATGAATACTTTTTTTGTGTCTTTCAGTAACTTGTGATTCGTCAATTTAACGTTTTATATATTTAACTTTAATTAAATGACTAATTTGCAGCCATTTGAATGTATACAGATCCGCAAACCAGGAGAGACTCGAGAGTGAAAGACAGTAATAAGCCTGCATTTTTTAATACTGCTACAGAGTGGATGTTAAATCTTGAGGTACTGAAGTGAAGCTCTAGTTTCCTGTGTGACGTCATGAACTGCAGCCTATCGGCTGAGGTGCCCGCGTGTGGCGTTCAGGGAAGAGAATCAATACCAATTGTTTATATGTATTTATTCAGAATGAACAAAGAGAAATAAAAGTATTACAATTATACTGAACATTTTTTAAAGGTACAATGGCCTGACATTTGAAGCACCTTTTTAGCCTACTGCACTTTAACAGCACTATTTTATAAACACCATCTCCTATTCGTCTCTATTTTTTCTCATTCTATTTAGTTGATGAATTTTCTAATATCATCTGTTTTTAAGTGAAAATCTCAAAAGGTTCTCATTTATATAAATGTCTGTTAAGTCACTATTTATCCCTGAAGGAGATAACACAATGCTTTTTCGTACCATTTTGAATGCAAGACTTTTACTTGTAATACAGTATTTCTACACTCTGGTACTTCTGCTTTTACTCAAGTACAAGATCTGAGTACTTCTTCCACCTCTGGAGAAAGAAAGCGTGACGAGGGGCCCGTGAACGCAGCACCAGTCCGGTTCCTGCGGAGACTCCGGTCCACGCTCCGGTCCTGGTTTAGCCTCGTCCCGGACTCCATGTTGTTCCGAGAGCCACGAACAAGTGCCGAAAACTCTCACGTTGCAACTCTGTGTGTGCGAGTAGTAAAGTGTGTGTGTGTGTGCGCGTGTGAGTGTGTTGACCCTCCGAAAGAAGATGGCAGACTACCGGGAAGACACCGGAGCTCGGGCTCTGCTGGCTCTACAGTCGGCACCATGCAGTCCCGTGCGCGTCGGGGTGACCTCGCACTATCTCCAGCCCTCGCTTGCCCTCTCGGGTCCTGCGTTGATGGATGCCCGCGCCGATGCCGGGATTTTCCCCGGGCGCCTCGCTTGTCCTGCTCCCCAGGCCCTGGCCAGACTGGAGGGCCGGGACTTTGAGTTCTTGATGCGCCAGAGGACGGTCACCATAGGCCGGAACTCGTCTCACGGCTCCGTGGATATCAACATGGGTCACTCGAGCTTCATTTCACGGCGACACCTGCAGGTCACATGTGACGAGGCGAACGGGTTCTCCCTCCGGTGCTTGGGCAAGAATGGCGTGTTCGTTGACGGGGTTTTCCAGCGGAGAGGGGCTCCGCCGCTGCTGCTACCCAGAGAGTGAGTGTTAGCATAGCCGCTACCGACAGGCTAATTATGGCAACACGACTGTTGCATTACTTACTTTAATGTTCAGCACGCATTGACAATCAAAACTAAAACAACTTCGCAGCCAGTGTCATGAATTAGTTGGTGTCTCCTTTAAAGTGTGTCTACCCCTATTAATATACGCTAAACAGTTGAATACAACTTTGAAACTACGTTTTTTAATTGTATGTCAGCTATGTAAACACCTAACTATGAATCCTTAATAGTTCAAGTGGATATATTGTAACTTTAAAAGTTAACCATCTATATATTCAAACGATGGGCACATTTCTGAAGGGGATACACAGTTTGTCATGACACCCCTAATAATCAGAGCGGTTTGATTTGGTCTGATCGGCTTCGCTTAATAAGTTCACTGTAACCTTGGTTTGGACAGTGAAGCTGTAACATAATTAGTCTATATGTCAACACTTAAGCTGTTAATCTTTTGTCTGGATGTTTTGAGGGACCCCTGGCCTCTAGTGTACTTTTACCCGACTTATTAGCTAATATCAAATCACGGAATTGACCTAGCTCGTTTTAGCCGTTAGCGAACTTCGCTTCATTTGGCATAACGACAAAATACAAAGCAGATACAAAAAGGTACTTTTGATATTTTGAAAATAATCGTGTAGTGATAAAACTGGCTTTATAACATGTCGTCAACTTAAATGTGTACTAAACAGATTGATACAGGTCGATAATGCTACTCGTGAAGCTGCTTGCCGTCGTGTTAACATTAATGTAAACAAACCCTGGCAGCTCAGTTATTAGTCTTGTTGGAAGAGTGGTGTTTGTTTTGTATTGTGACTTGAAATGCGTGTGTTTGTATCAATAGTAACCATCTGGTGTATTAATATGGTCTTAGTTGTACTGTTGTGGCACCATTGTCGAGGCTAAACGTTTTTGCTTCTACTGCCTGATTCATTTAATAAGGTGGCAATCTTAAAAATAGTAAGCTTTGACTTTGTGTGTGTGTGTTGATCACAGGGTGGAGAGGGGGGGGTGTACTCTTATCCTCTCTGATTGGCTGTCACGAGTGTTTGGGGGCGTGTCTGGCATTGAACAGGAAGTGCAGCATGAAATGACATCCTCATAGCAGGAGCACATGGAGTAAACACAAGACTCACACACCAAGGCCAAGGCATGTGTTGCTCTGGGGCCTCTCTCAGGATTACAGAGCTAACTGGAAAATGGTGCTGAGCTTAGTCCGGAAGTTTATCAAATGCAAAAGAGGGCAATTTATTTAAGTAATCCTTTTAGTTATTCTTTAACATTTACAATACATATATACCCTTTTTATCTCACTCCTTAAATCACATCACAATAATTAGTTGTTATGACACTGCTCAGTTGAATCTGTGTGGTTTAGTTGATATCTTATTGACTGCCGATTATTCCCGGTGCTCCAGGACATTAATATTATTGTTTTTTCCAATGTTTAAAATATTTTTCATGAGACATAGTTTTCATACAGGCCGCCTGCAGCAGATTTTCTTAATAGCTGTTTGTCTTTTTTGAGCGATTTCTTCTAAACTCTCTAGCTTCTTAAGTCTTCAATGGCCTGCATCATTAAAGCATTCACACAGTACAATATTTGGCAACATATATTTTAGGTGATATTCAGTACTCAGCAATAATGCCAGGAAGCAAAATCGTGTTCCCATTACCGGGTAAACTATTGAACCTTCTTCCACTGTATCTCAGAGTCTCTCACATGCTCTCCAACACTAACACTATTCAACATGTCATGTGAGTCAGTTGAACAGGGGGCTTTCTCTCTGCTACTCCAACATACAGCTGGCACCGTGGACGTTAATAAGAACAAGCTGTTGTGTGCACAGTCTCTTGCACCTCAGCTGTGGAACCCTGAAACTCCTTCAGTTGTTCTCGCATGGACAGTCAGTTGTTGAGGATGGCCTGCTCTATACATGGACAGCTGTGAGAGCGCTGCATGTGGGCTATTGGATTGGCATCTGCAATTTTCAGAAGCAAATTATAGAGAAAAGATAAAGTGCATAGACTGGTTTAACTGTCAGCTTACAACACATTTATGGTTTTGTGGGGGTGTTTTTTCTTTTTTCATGTGTTCATCTCCACAGGGAGGTCTGAGCCCAGGGCCCCTAGAATTAGTTAGGATTCAGTTTCTTTTTCAAAGAAAGCACTCATCTAATCTAGCTTGACACAATGGTTCCAGTCACAAAGAAAGACTACACTGAATCATCACCCTTACTGCCTAAACTTGCTAGGAGACATCAACATTAGTCATTAAGGTTTCATTGTGAGACATAGATGAAAGCCTCGTACACATTATTATTTTCGGGGGTTTCGTTTAACCTTGAATTATGTTGGGCCTGAACAAATCCTTGCTTTCTTTGAGGCAGTTGTCCAGACCTGCTTAAGTAAGAGGAAATGCAGGTTAGTGGGTGTTGTGTTAATACACCAGACTAGTTTCTTGTCCACAAAATATATTGTTTATATAGAAAACACACCCCTATGCTTCATGATACGATTCCATATCTT